CACTTATGTGGAATTTAATAAACAAAACCAGGAAGCACAGGGGAAGGGAGGAGGAAAATAAAACAAGATGTAAAAACAAAAATAAAAAAATGAAATCAGAGAGGAAGACGAACCATAAGAAAGTCTAATCATCGGAAACAAAGTGAGGGTGGCTGGAGGAGAAGGGGGGGTAAGGGCAGTGGGGTAACTAGGAGATGGACCTTAAAGAGGGCACATGATGTCATGAGCACATAAGACTAATAAATCACTGAACTCTGCCTCTGAAACTAATAATATACTGTATGTTAATTGAATTAAATTTAAAAAATGGAAGCGTGCTGGATGCATTTTTCTGTATCTGTTGAGATGATCATATGATATCTTTTTGTTCTTGAAGTCTGTCCACTATTTTTTTCTCCATTAATGCTGCTTGTCCTTTTGTAGGCTTTTTGACTCTTAAAATGAGCCTTTTATCTCAGAGAAACTTTTATTTAACTATTCCTTGATTACTTCTTTCTCTTTGTTCTTTTCCCCTGGAAAATCTGATAGATTGTTTTGGAGCCTCTGTGTTCACGTTTCTTAACTTTTCTTTCCTGCTTTGTTTGACTTTTTGTTTTATCTTCTGGGAGATTTTCTTGACATTGTCTTCCAGATGACTGATTCTGTTTTCAGCTAGGTCATTTTATTATTTAGCTAATCTGTTCAGTTTTCAATTTTTGATAATCTTATTTTGTTAAGTTTATTTTTCATGTTCTTTGCCATTTTTTCATTTTTATAGCTGTAGTATCCTTTGGCCCTCTTTGAATGTACTTTTTATTTTTAAAGTTTTTTTTTTAATTACCTATTTTCTCTTGGATCTTTGTCTTTTCACGTTGGATCTTCCCTTTTGTGCTGTTGGTTTCTTGAAAATGTGTGTTTGGCTTTAGTTGAATGAATTAGGGTGGTTAATAGAGGTCGTTGGCATGGATTTTCCTGTGCAAGTAGGATTGTGCTGCTTCCCAAATGGTGGGCCAGCTGACTGTGAGCTTTGAGTGTCTGGTAAACTCTGGGCAGAAAGACCAGCTCCTGTGCAAGCATCAAGATAAGAAATGGGTAAACTCTTACTCTTTGAAGTACATTCCATTTCTTCATTAATTCATTTGTAGAAGGCAGGGGTGCTGTACTTTCTTCACTTTTTCCCTCAAGCCACAATATTCACAACAGGAGCCATCCCTCTCCTGTACCCACTTATTTTTCATTTTAAAATATTTACTTTTTTTTTTTCCAGTCTTGTTTAAGACATCTGTTCTTGTGCTTTGTCCTGGAGTCAGAAGTGGTAGTTATCCAGGCCTTTCACTATGCAAGGAGGGCATCAAAGTGGACCTTTAGTGGACCTTATACATTTTAAATTGTGCGGTAATTGTCACATGGGTACTCCTGGGTTTTGCAAATGTCTCATTGTAAAGCTTTTCAGAGCACCCTTGAAAAAACCCAGCCTGTTTCACTGGTGATGTTTTGAGCTATGAATTTCTTTATTTCACTTTTTCTGTCAGTTTGAACCCAGTAACTTTCGAATGTTTCTTAGTATTTAAAATTTTTAAATATTTCTGATCCATGACTCTCTCTTGTTTCTTAGAGCTATTATGATTTCATTTTAAAAATATCTTTGCATATCAGGGGCGTCTAAGTGGCCCAGTCGATTAAGCATCTCGCTCTTGGTTTCAGTCAGGTCATAATCCTCTGGGTTGTGAGATCGAGCCCTGCATCAGGCTCTGTGCTGGGCTTGGGGCCTGCCTAAGATTCTCTCTATGTCCCTCCAAATTCCCCATCCTTCTCTTCCTCTGTATTAAAAAAAAAAAAAAAAAAAAATCTTTGCCCATCAGTAGTTCTTTGGGAGATCCAATTTACCATCATGAATTTGAAGCCACTGTACTTACGTAATAGGAGTAAAGAATACAGACATCCTGGGGAGAATGTTTTGCGAGGTAGGGATTGGGCTAAATTTACAGCTACAAGTGGCCTGTTTAGCAAGGCCAGCAACTTCTGTTCCGATCTGGCAGACTGGAAGTTGTCTTTGTTTTCCAGTTTTGCATTTCTAGAGTTTAACCAGGAGCAGGCACAGAGGCACACAGTTAATAATGAATGATCAGAATTAGAGCATTTTGTCTCCTGTGGACTTGTCAGCAATAGTAGGCCCTTATATTTCTGTAGTTCTTTTACCTTTTGAAGGCATTATTTTCATTTTTACTTATCATTGGGCAATTTTTATGTGTTTTTACAGAAAGTTTCATTTGGAAACACCCCAGTGAATTACATTGTAGCACCCCGTTTGCTGGAAGAAAGCTTAGAATCAGAAATGAGCCCTTGTAAAAAGGCATTTTAGCAAAGCTTGGGTACCATAACCTACAAGTTGTAGAAGAGCCTTTTAGTCAGTCACGTGGTTTTTTAATTTTTTTTTTTTTTTTTTTTAAGGGTATGGGGAGAGGATGAGGTGGGGCTCAGTGTCTGGACCTCGAGACACTGATGTGAGCTGAGGTTGAGTTGGCTGCTTAACCCCAGGTGTCCCAGTCATGTGCTTATTGGCTTTTATTATAATTACAGTTCTAACAGTCATATTTGTTTAGAAATATACTTTAAAAGAGAGGATTATAAGAGCAATCTAATGATAACTGAAGGAGATGATGCTCCTGTAGTTCAGTGTAACACTTGAGGTTCATAATGATGACCCCTATTAACTAGTAAGTAAAAAAAAAAAAAAAAAGATTTGCTGCATCATAGAGTAAAGAAGGTTTTCAGTTATTTGGACTTGGCCACACCTGGCTCTCATCACAGCTCTAGCACGTACGGGCTCTGGATACTGTTCAGCCTCTCTGATACTGGTTTCTCGGTTTTGACATCTTTGATCGCCACATCAGTCTTCTCCCTTCCCCTTGTGTTCCTATATATATTCTGTCCCAGGAATGATCTGTCTACTCCCCTTGACTGCTTATTTCCTTCAGATCATAACTCTGAAACTCCTTCCCCCAGGAATTCCTCCCTGACTCTGGATTAGATTATGTGGCCTGTTGTATACTCTTATAGCACTTATCCCAGTTGGGATTTTGTGTTTATTGTATGATTATTTATTTAACAATTTCTTTCAACAAATATTTACTGAGTGCTTAATAAACCCCTGGGATTGTGAGCTTTATTAAGGCAGAATAATGACTGGCCATGTGGGTTTTGTCTGTTTTACTTGGTCCTTGTATCCCTAATACCTAACATAGTGCTTAGACATAGGGAGTGAGCAGTTGCTGAATGAATAAATACCAATGGAGATAGTACTGCCTGCCCTCTCACAAGGCTGTTGTGAGCCTTCAAAATGATTGTGTGTATGACGTGCTTATTAGCTTGCTTGTGGCCTGGTTGGGACAGTATCCCTAATTGTTAATAAAAGCCAGTCAGTCTGCTGTGGCCCTTGAGAATGGTTCTTGGGCATACAGGTAGCCCTTAATTCATGCTCTCCCATTTACTAGCTCTGTGACCCTGCAGAAGTGCTTAATATCTCTGATTTGCATTTTCTTTATCTATAAATGGAAATAATAATAGTTACCATATAGGGTTTTGGAAGGATTGGCCTGTGACCATCACAGTGAAACAGCGGACAGTACTTACTCACTAGGTAGTGGGCATAGCATTGGTCCTATGTTAATGAATAAGAGAAATCGTTTAAGGAATATATAGACAGTATCAGAAAATTCACATATGTGGAAACAATACATTCTCTGATAGATGGTAGCAGTAGATATATTGCCATTAGCCCATAATCTTCAGAATATCCAGTATTTCCCAATTATGTCTGTGATGGGTTGTATCGTGTTAGGTTCAGTTTTGTTTTTAAGAGGGTGGTGAGGGCAGTGTGCCTGAGCAGCGCAGTCAAAGTGTCTGATGTCACCTCAGGTCACAATCTTGGGGTCCTGGGATCAAGTTCCACATCGGGTTCCGTGTTCAGCAAGGAGTCCCCCTGTCCCTCTCCCTCTGCCTCCATCCCCTACTCCCATCATTTTCTCTCTCTCTCTCTCTCTCTCTCTCTCTCAAATAAATAAAATCTTAAAAAAGTAAAAGGACTTTTGGGAGTATGATTATATATTCCTAAATAGTTGAATTATATTAAGACTTAAGGCTCCTTGGGGTACCTGGGTTGCTCAGTTGGTTAAGCATTTGCCTTCATCTCAGGTCATGATCTCAGGTCCAGGGATCAAGCCCCACATTGGGCTCCCTGCTCAGTGCGGACCCTGCTTCTCCCTCTCCCTCTGCTGCTCCCCCTGCTTGTGCTCTCTTGCACTCTCTGTGTCAAATAAAATCTTAAAAAAAAAAAAAAGAGTTAAGCCTTCTGAATTTTAAAATGTCTTAGAATGCCCTGTCACTTGTGTATGGAAGTTACACTCAGCAAGTGACAGTATTGGAAGTCATCCTGGATTTTTGGACCTGTGTGTGCTCATGGATAATGTCTGTGGATTTAGAAGATTATTCTGAAGAGTAGTTCACAGCTCGTTCTTCCCAGAGTCCCAGGCATCCCCTGTGCATTGGCTGCCTTGCCAGCCTTTTCTGACAAAAGCACGTTGCCGTATAAGTGAAAAGGACATTTTATTACAGGAATAACCTTTAATTTTCTCTAATTTACATATTTAAAAATTCACTTGGGAACATTTGATACTTCACACTATCTACAGGGACATGATCCATGCTATCATGTTAAATCCTTGCTTCTCATTTAAATTGTTTCACTTTCATCTTGGCTGCATGGCCCTGACTTCCTGACTTCCATCAGAAGGAATCCGTTTTGTTTGCATTCCTACACATGTTTGTGCAGGGGGATGCCTAGCTGTCTCAGTTGGTGGAACAAGTGCTTCTTGATCCCAGGTTTCTGAGTTCAAGCCCCGCATTGGATATAGAGAATATTTTTTTAAAAAATAATCTAAAAAAAAAAAAACGAAACAACAAATGTCTGTGGAGAAAGATGCAAAACTTTCTAGTGATTGGTTGATATACCTTTATTACAGGCTCAGCAAAATAGTCCCTCCTCTACGGGATCTGGCAACACAGAGCATTCCGGCAGCTCCCAAAAACAGATCTCCATCCAGCACAGACAGACCCAGGTAGGTCAGTGGTCAATACACAGAGGAAAAGATGTGCTTAGGAATAAATGCTAACCACATAATACAGTCTGTGAGTCCTCTCTTTGTCTTTCCTTTATTTCTCTGACTTTACTTCATTATTTTTGTGTATTATACTCAGAACTTGCATTTTGAGTATTAAAGTCTTTTGGAAGCTGCTTTAACTTTTTGAGGTGTTTCTTTGCCATTCTAGTGTGTTGCAGAGAAATGCTTGTACTGTAGCATGTTATTGAGGAAAGAGCACTTGCTTTGGATACTATCTATAGGCCTGAGTTTGAATTCTGGCTCTGCAACTAACACTGTCTTTTTGGGCCTCAGTTCTTGAGTACAAATCGTCTGTAGAATGTGGTTGATTCTAGTTCTCTCAGACAGTGCATACAAAATGCTAATAAGGGCGGTGCTTAGAATACACTTCAGTGAATTTTAATTCCCTACTTTATGAAAGTAGTTTATTGATTCCTTTCACCTGCTTATTTGACAGGACCTAGCTAGACTCCTTTAACATGTGGCACACCAACATAATTTCCTCCTTAAAGAGTTTTCAGAAACTCTTTTTAATTTAGGGAATGTTGTGAGCATTCAAAGTCAGTATCTGAAAAGGATAGTGGATTCATCCTCCATTGTGTAGTGTTGAGCTAGCCAAATAGAACACTGTGTTTGCTTGAAGCCTCCTGGCATTGTTTTGCCTTCAAGACAAGATGCTTGGCAATCTAGGAGAATTTCTTAAATCTTAAGAGCTATACAACCTTCAGGAGTAGATTTTACTTTTATTTGAATGATGAGCTTTTGGACAGTTGAACAGACCTGATTCAGAAAACTTCATTTCTCCCCATCTGATTGTTCTTTGTTTCCACTAGGTGGCGTGTTAGTTCTTTAGAGATTTGGGTCCTCCCTCCTCTGAACTCCTTTTCTATTCAAAGTTAGTTTCATTTCTAGAGTAGTTTGTTTCTGTATTGCTCAATGCACCGTCATTTGAGAATTCATGTATTAGATACCAGAATTGAAGTGCAGGTGTAGCAAAATGCAAGGTTTAAAGAATGGGTGAGGAAAGCAGATTTAATTTCTTTAGCCATGTGATACCAGGCTATCTGTGTTAGTAAGTGCTTTTTTCCCCAGAAGAGTAATGAGAAAAGTATGATGACATGTAATACTTTGAGACTAATCTTAATTTGTTTTCTCTTTGTATAGTCTGACCTCACAATAGAAAAAATATCTGCACTAGAAAACAGTAAGAATTCTGACTTAGAAAAGAAGGAGGGAAGAATAGATGATTTGTTAAGAGTAAGTATTAAAATGTGGTAAGAGATTTTATAACAAGCACTGATACTGTGACTCTTCGGGTTATGCACATATCATAATTACTGTCAGCAGATAACAAAGTTAGTAACATTTGGATATTTTCCTTTAATCTGAGGGAATCTGAGTAGGAAATAGGATCAAACCTGTATTCTAAGCTCTATCTTTAAATTGGAAATCTTACGTTGTAGGATTTTAATATTTAAATATATACTAGAGAAATAGATATATGGAGTATTGTATTTCATCTGGAACAGTGGGAAGCAACGTAAAATATTGTTTTTCTGTTCAGAGAAGTTTTGGTAATATTCTTGAATTTTTAAAACGATTTCACAAGTACTTTTCAGCCCTGCTTTTTGTATTTTAGGTCATTTATGGTCATTTAGGTCATTTAGGTCATTTATTTTAGGTCATTTAGGTTTTTGTGCTTACAAGAAAAACTTCAAAAATAACCTAATCTGGAATTTAAAAGATACTTCTAGGAAATACATGATGATATTTTAAAAATATATTTTTAATATGCAACTAGCATACTGACTGACCCATTCCTTAATAAAAACTTGGTTTTTTTCTTTTAAAAGCAGTCTGTGCTCTTTATAATACATTTAGAGAGCACTGAGAAATATGACACCCATAATTCCGTTAACTGAGTAGAACATTCGGTACATTTCCTTCAGTAATTTTGAGCCATTAGTAGTATGTATTGTATATATACATACATATAAATGTGTATATAAATAAGTCTTACTGACTTAAAATAAAATCGATTAACAAGTTTATCTTCTCCAGTGATTTAGAAAGGTGTAGGTTTGATCATCATTTGTACTAACACAGATTTCCAGCTGGCTCCATGGGGCCCTGAAGGTGTTGTTGGAGGAGCTTCCAGGACCCCCATGACACAGCTGGGTGCAGATCTGAAGTCTTATTGGGCAAGACTGTTTGAAGAAAGTAATGTTTGTTAATAAAGATAATAAAAGTCACTGTATTGTGATTATCTCTCCAGAAAATTTTACCTGTTTCTGTTATTACCAAATAAAGTAAAAAGCACTGTGTTTGACTCCCACTCTGTATAAAACCTGGAATTGAGCACATATCTAAAACATAAGCCCAGTCTGAGTAACATCTGATGTTTTGAGACTATTATTGTTAAATTATTTTAATAGTTTATATAAGAATAATTCCTATATTACAAGCAGTTTTATGACCTAATTTATAATAATTATTTACACATGTTAAACTCTTTTTTTTTTTTTTAATCACAGTTTTTGTCTTCTTACTTTTAGTTGACTGGCATACATTTTAAGTAATTATTTTTCAAGAAGGATATATCAGTGTTAAGTTTTTTATTTCCTTGTAGATCTGAGAATTCTTTCTCTTATCTTCCTGTATAAAAAGTGTTCTTTTTGTGTCATAACCTGTCAGGCTTCTCCTCTTACCTCCAAATTGTAACACATATATATACACATGTGTGCACCTTTTACTTTTTTTTTTTCCTTTTTAGTATTTACTATTTCTGAGAAGACTGTGACCGAAGGAACAAACTGTAGTCTGTTTTCTGTGATGATTATAGTACCGTCATCCCTTATTTTTGTATTTCAAAAAATTTTGCCAGGGTACATCTACACATAGGTCTCTAAATTTTTATTCTGGAAATGTGCGGTTATGCTTAATTTTTGCCTCTTTCTGTCTTAAGTTGGCCTCTTCCTCGGTTTCTAGCTTGAATCCCTGATCTCTTCCCTTTATTTCTATCACTTCAAGTCTTACTTAATATGATTGATCTTCTTTTCTGAATCTCATTAAACATTAGTTTCTCTTCCTTACATTTTCTGCTCTTTACTGTCTCTTATGTCAATTTCGATTCCATTATTTACATTTTTAGTTTACTTTTTCCCCCTACGTAATTCACTTTCTTTTTCCACGTTGTGCATTCTTTATGATTTTTGCCTGTGACTTCATAGACTCCACGTCTTTTTGTGTTTTATGGGCTATGAGAAGCTGCATTCTAAAATGTTCTTTTGATTCTTTAGGGAAATCATGTTCATGGTTCTCAAGCTGATGTTCACTTTCCTCACTCAGAAGTATCTGTACTTAGGTCTCTTCTGGTTGTTTGCTTTGCTCTACCTTTCCATGAGGAGAGGCACGTTTAGACTCAGTACTTACCTTCCATCTTTCATTGTTAGCATATGTGCTTGCTTGGGGTTGCTCTTATTTCTGTTTTTGTTCATTTCATATGGATGCTGCTTGAATTGCCAAGATTTTAATTAGGTAGATTGTGGGTTTAAAGAGCTTGTAGCCCAATTTCAGTATTGACGGGTGTTTGTCCAGAGAAGCTGCGCTGGACTAAAAAAGGATCATGGGCTCATCTTTCTTCACCTGACTGTTAAGATTGTGAAGATGGATTATATGAAAAACTTGAATCCTGACTTAGTACTCTTTTTGAATTTTAAAAAGATGTCTGCTTTCATTTTCTAGGAAACCCTATGTTCCCTTTACTCACCATTACCTACCTTCCACTCCCTTGTTTTCTGAAGGGTGTAGTTTTTGGCTATAGAACAATACCAAAGGAATGGAGGTGTCAAAAAGGAGGACACTGAAGGCAGCTGCCATATTTTTTAAGTTGATTAGAATTTGTGTTTCTGATCTGGAATGCAGGGAATGAGTGATCCTTATGTCTCCTTTTAGGCAGGCATGGGTGGTTCCTTGGGGTTTTCCATTTTGGTGAGATGTTGAATAAGGCTGCATCAGGAGGTAGGCAGGTGCTGTTTTAAATCTGAATACAAAGTTGTTAGTCCTAGAAAACCACAAAAATTTAGAGTTCTTAAAATTTTATTGTATTTTGGTACACCTGGATGGCTCAGTCGGTTAAGCGTCTGCCTTTGGCTGAGGTCATGATCTCAGGGTCCTGGGATCGAGCCCCCCATTAGGCTCTCTGCTCAGCGGGGATTCTGATTCTCCTTCTCACTTTCCCTCTGTGCTTTCCCTCTCCCTCTCTCTCTCTATCAAATAAATAAAATCTTTAAAAAAATATTTTTTATTGTATTTTATTATTTATTTATTTATTTATTTATTTAAGAGAGCATAAATGTGTATGCACACAAACAGGGGTTGGGTGGGGGAGGAAGGGAGGGGAGAAAGAGAATCTTAAGCAGCCTCCATGCCCAGTATGGAGCCTGACACGGGACTTGGTCTCAGGACTCTGTGATCATGACCTGAGCTGAAAGGAGTCAGCCCTCAACTGACTGAGCCACCCAGGTGCCCCTTAAAATTTAATTTAATTTTTTTTTTTTTTTTTAAAGTAAGCTCTACAGTCAACGTGGGGCTTGAATTCATGGCCTCAAGATCAAGAGTTGTTACATGCTCTGTAGACAGAGCCAGCCAGGCGCCCCTAGAGTTCTAAAAAGTTTAAATAAGCTGCCAGAGATTGATTCCATACATTTGATTACAGATTTTAAGGGAATCCTCGCCCTCCAAAAGGAGATTGAATTTTATGTAAACATTACATAGTCTTTGTCTTACAGATTCTTTTTCTTTCTTTTTTTTTTTTTAAGATTTTATTTTTAAGTGATCTCTACACCAACATGGGGCTCAAATTCACAACCCTGAGATGAGGCAGCTCAGGCTCTACCAACTGAGCCAGCCAGGCACCCTGTAGATTCTTTATTGTGAATTAGTCACATTTACCCAAATGTACTTGTACTTTGCCTTTGATAGAGTGGTCCATAGAACTCTCTACAAAGAAGTGATAGAAATTATACATATGAGTAGAAATTGGAGATGGAAGCTGTTGTACACTGATCACTTTAAAAATGAAGCTGTAATGTCTCAAAAATTGTGTGTGCTGTAGTAGCTTCCATTTGTGCTTTTTACTGTTTCAGAAACACTTACATCATATGATTGGGAAATACCAGATCTTTTTTTTTTTTTTTTTTCCACAACTCAAGGACATTATTATAAAGTAGCATTTATTTGCTGAAAGAGTAGAGATCTTTTGTTAATATAAGAATAAGTTTTAAAAAATTGCAAGTCAGGATTGAACTTGGGTTAGTGGTTCTTCCCTTCTCTGTTATTGCAGGAGGTTTGATTTTTTTCAAACTATTTAGCCCATCATTCTGACCACAGCTAAATTAACTGTGTATTTACATTCTGGCATTCTTGAGAACTAGGGCCTCGTATTCATCTTGTTTGTTAGTTCTGTCTTATGCGGGCATGGGTGTGTCTGGCTTCTCTGGTAAGAAACATTTATGTAAATTCATGTCCCTTTTTCTTTGGAAACAAGAATAGGAAAACAAAGAATAATTGACCGTAAGAACATTTTGTGGTTTTTTAAAAAATTCTGTAATTTTTTTGTGTTTAATTATCCTTTGTAAATATTCTGTGAGTGCTGTAAAGTATTTCATTACCTTTGAATATATTTTAAACATCTCCGTTGTAGGTTTCTTCTTTTGCGACAGTGTAGGTATATGTGATGTACTGGATTTACTTACAACTGCCTTTTGAGAGGAGTAAAACATCAGTAGAAAAACATGCCCGCTCGTAGTGACAATTCGTCTTACTTAAATAGATAAGTTTAGGAAGAGAGACTAAAGGAATGAAGTATTTGTTTTTTAAATCTAATTACTCTTAGCTCTTTGAACGTTAATTTTGCTTTTGATTGAGTAAGAAGAAATTATGTTTGGACTCCTTAAAAACTGCTTTTGTATTCATCTCTCTTCCTTGGAGCTAATTTAAAAAATGTTTCACCCTTGAAGGCCAACTGTGATTTGAGGCGACAAATTGACGAACAGCAAAAGATGCTAGAGAAGTACAAAGAACGATTAAATCGATGTGTGACAATGAGCAAGAAACTCCTTATAGAAAAGGTGAGTGTCATGGTGGCCTGAACCCTGCATCCCTGGATGCTCAGGGGGTGGCATTGCTGGGGCTCCTTACTCCTCACCTGAGGTGAAAATACTTTGAAGTACGGCTTTTTAGGAGAAGACTTCATATGATTTGACAGAATTCTTTCTTACATGGACATTGGCGCAAGCATCCAGAACGATAATTGGAGGGATTGTTTTTGGTCGTGCCTTGCTTGGCGTGTGATGATTGGGCAGGGACAGCTTGGCCTAGTTGAATTTATTTGCAGTGTCACTCTCCGACATTCTTACATTCATCCTGTCATTTAGATTGCATATCCTATTACTGTTGCAAATGCTTAGCAGCAGTTACATTTCCATTTTAGAGATGGTATTTGGAGTAACTTATGTATATAGTAATGCGATAACTAAGTGCTTTTTTGTGCTTTGAAAAAAATTAAATTGACATATACTTGAATGTGACTACTTTAATTGGCTGTTTTCTTTATTATAGTAATTGATTAGTTGTGACTGTAGTAGTTTTTAGTGACTGTTTCTTACAAGTTTTTTTTTTAATTATATCTCTAGTGCATATTTATTTTCTGTTGAAAAATAGCAGTACTGCTAATGAAATAAATTATTACAGGCTAAAGGTTTCCATCAGATTGGTGATTACTTCTGCTGAAATCTTGAGAACGCTGTTAAAAAGGCAGGGAACACTGATAAAAGGGAAGTGGGTTATCTTATTGGTGTCAGAGATACTGAGGAGAACGTTGATTCAGCTTCTAATTCATTAATTTTAGAGAAAGGAAACCCTTTTTCTTTATTAATATAGAGAATTTATTTAAAGTTTTAGGGTACTTCCTAAAGACCACATAGGGTCAGCCAGTTGTACTAAACTTTGATCACTATAGTGTGGAACGTGAACACTGTGCTCTGAGTTCTTTTTGGAGAATACAGTTCTTTTCTATTTGTCCTTTCTCCAAGTCAAAACAAGAGAAGATGGCGTGTAGAGATAAGAGCATGCAAGACCGCTTGAGATTGGGACACTTTACCACCGTTCGACATGGGGCCTCTTTTACTGAACAATGGACAGATGGTTACGCTTTCCAGAACCTTATCAAGTAAGTGAACTGCAGTGATTAAATTGAAGTTGAAAAGTTGCTTTAACTTTTCTGTAATTGTAGTCTTTAAAAAGAATAGTTGTGGGGGCACCTGGGTGGCTCAGTCGGTTAAGCATCTGCCTTTGGCTCAGGTCATGGTGCTGGAGTCCTGGGATGGAGCCCCACGTCAGGCTCTCTGCTCAGCGGGGAGTCTGCTTCTCCCTGTCACTTAGCCTCTGTGCTTTCCCTCTCTCCCTCTCTCCCTCTCAAATAAATAGATAAATCTTAAAAAAAAAAAAAAAAAATTCTAGTTGTGGTAGTCCTCTTTTCGTTCAGCTTTAGTCCCTACATGTGTAAAGAAATGTAGGGAATGAGGGGAAGTCCTGGAAAAAAATGACATAAGTCATCAGAGAAATAGTAAATGAGTTCTACATTAAAGTCTAAAAGAATCAGAATTGGGGGTGCCCAGGTGGCTTAGGGTGAAATGTCTGCCTTCAGCTCAGGTCATGACACTGGAGTCCCAGGATTGAGCCCTGCATCAGGCTCCCTCCTCAGCAGGGAGTCTGCTTCTCTCCCTCTCTCTTTGTCTCTCTCTCTCTCTCAAAGTAATAAATAAAATTTTAAAAAAAAAGCAATTGCTGAAGTTAAGGAAGAAAAATGTAGAACTTGACTTTAAATTATGTAATGGATTTTCATGAGGAGTCAGTAAGCATATTGATTCTGGGCCCATAGAAAAATGAAATGAGCAAGGACTTAAGGAAGAATGTCCTGAGTTAGGTATAAAACAAAATAAAACCCTAGAAGAACATTACAAGATATGCCCCTGAGGCCCTTTAAGGAGACTGTTTCCTGTCATTTGATAGTGGCTCCCTCAAAGGCAGGGGCTAAACCAGTGGTCAGGCTGGGGGCCAGCCACAGTGTGCGACTGTCAGCAATTTGGAATCTTTTTAAAGATTTTATTTTTTTATTTGACACAGAGAAAGAGAGAGAACACAAGTAGGCAGAGAGGCAGGAAGGGTGGCGGGGGAGAAGCAGGCTCCCTACCAAGCAAAGAGCCCGATGCAGGGCTCGATCCCAGGACCGTGAGATCATGACCTGAGCCAAAGGCAGAGGCTTAACCCACTGAGCCACCCAGGCGCCCCAGCAATTTGGAATCTTTTTTTTTTTTTTTAATATTTTATTTATTTATTTGACAGACAGAGATCACAAGCAGGCAGAGAGGCAGGCAGAGAGAGAGAGAGGGAAGCAGGCTTCCCGCTGAGCAGAGAGCCCGATGCGGAACTCGATCCCAGGACCCTGAGATCATGACCTGAGCCGAAGGCAGCGGCTTAACCCACTGAGCCACCCAGGCGCCCCGCAATTTGGAATCTTAAGCACTCTTTCACTTTATCATAACTTTAGTTTGAAACATTCAAGTATTTACTTCAAGGAGAGAACTGACATTTAAAATCCTAAAATTTCAACTATGTAAATAGCAAATACTAGCTCTGGACTTAAAAAAATATGTATCTTTAGGTTATAATACCTTTCGGTATATCTAACTTATTTACCTTTATTCGTTAGATTATTTTCATCTGAGACTAGGGGGAAGGGCACTGTGTTTTTAATCGTGGGCTCTTAGACTTTTGATCTGTAGGTCACCGTGAGTTGGAGGGTTCCATAGACTGCTTTTCCTTTTTTCCTTCTTGAAGTAACTTACTGAGCAGTGAGTATTGAGTGTGGAACTCCTTTAATAGTAATGAAACTTAAAGAAATAACAAATTTATATCTGAAATAAAGTACAGATATTGATCTTACTAATAATACCTCTGGATTGCACGTTAGCAGTCAGTGTTTTATATGTGCTACATAACCCTGCATTTGTCTTAGGTATGTCTTTACCTCACACGAGTACCTTGAGTATGCGTAATTTGGGTGTGGTAAGAGGCTGGCCCTTGAGTCAAGAGATGTAGTACCCAGGAAGAAAAACAAAGCCTTTCAAGTTGGGCCAGGTGCCAGAGACTCAGGACGACATCTCCAACTGATAAGCAAAGGTTGCTGGTGAGAGCAGAAAGGCACCAGGGTGGTGGAAATCGCTGCTACACCGAGGCATGACACCCTGACCAGGTCATGCAGATTGCCCTGAAAGTGGCACACTATCCAGTTTCATTAGAATGGGACCCGAAGATACATCCCCAGTACTGGCCAAAGCCACCTAGTGCTCAGACTGAGTCCCAGATGTGATGGTGACTCCTGCCAGTCTTTGACAGTGGTTACTCTTTAGATGGCGGTCTCTAAAATGTCAAAAGACTTGGACTGAAAATGATAGTGTGCTTGTATAGAGATATAAAATGTAATTACTTTTTTTTTTTTTAAGAAATGCTCACAGTTTTAGCTGATAGCAGTATTTTATCTTTATACTCTAAGCAAGTCCCTGAGGCCCAGAAGGTTCTCAAAATTACATAGAGTACAAAACGGTGACTTTGCTGTAGAGCCATGAGAGCAATTGGGACTGTCTAAATGAGATCCTTGACTAGGGATTGTTCCTCCCAAGTAGATAGCATTTTTTTTTTTTTTTTTCATAGAATACCCATCACTTATCTTGTGAAACTGTTTCTGGCTAGTGTCTACTAATTACAGGTATTTTATTTTCTAGAGTTTCACTTTAATAAATTAATTCCTTTTCAGTTTTAATGCAGAAGTTGAAATTCTTCAGTTGTAAAGGCTATATTTGATATCTTCATAAATGATTATTCTCTGTGTATAAGTAACTCCATGATAAATAGTTTGGTTAAAATGATGTCTAAAAATATGTGCATTTGTTTTTTAATACCTCTCTTACTGGCTATGTACAGTATGGTTGGAGTCTGGAATACAGTTTTCTGTTGAAGGTGCCTGTATTCATTTCCTAGAGCTACTGTAACAAAATACCATAAATTAGGCGGTTCGAAACAGCATAAACTTAGTCTCTTAACAGTTCAGGTGGGAAATCCAAACCTGAGGTGTTGAAAGACCGTACTTCCTCCGAAGCCTTGAGGGAGGATCATTCTTTGGCATTCTGTGGCTTGTGGGAGCATGGCTTTGATCTCTGCCTCCATCTTCAAATGGTGTTCCTCCTGTGTGTCTCTGTGTGTTCTCTCCCTTTGTAAGGACACCAGTCATATTGAATTAAAGGGCCTACCCCACTCGGGTCTGACCTCATTTTAACTAATGACTTCTTCGATGACCCTACCTCCAAAGGTTATAATCTGAAGTCATGGGGGTTAGAACTTTAACATATCTTTTTAGGTGACCTATTTCAGCCTGTAATGGTGCCTAAGGCTGATTGTCTTGTTTTCTTTTAGAGGTAATAATGGCTTTTTAAATAGGGTTATTTAGATTTGAGTGAGATGGATTTATCAGATCATCAACACCTCTATAAAAGATAGTGGAAGTAGTCTTTCCATGGATGATGAGTGGCAGTCAATCTCTAAAATTGATGCAGTGCAAGAAATATTTAAGGATCAATTCTGAAAGGCACTGTCATATGTATTGGAGATATAAGGCTTGATAAGACATGGTTCTTTTCTAAGAGAAGTTACAGTTCACTGACATAATTCCCAGCTTCACTCCCAAAATAAACCTAAATGAAGTATCACTGATGGAACTATCTTTAGATTTTTATTTGCAAGTGTAAGTAGCTAAATCATTTCAAGAATATCAAGAATTAATGTAGGAATCATTTTTCTATATAATCGTGATCCCTGGCGCATCCATTTTCACGTTCCAGCAAGTGCTCTCATTCTTAGAATATGTGGTTTACGATTTCCCCAAGTTTTTGCATCATTGTACCCTGTCTTTATGCTTTATATATATGATGGCTGTGGGCCCCTTTCTTGGTGAGTCTCCAAAGATCAAATTTTTGGATTCTTAACTAGAACCAAGAGTAAATTAGTTTTATTTTCTGCTTAATAAAGGTGACCGCTAAAAATCTCAATCTTCCAAAGCAGCTGGTCTTCAAAGACAAAAATATGTGGCTCTCCGCTAGCCCACTGTAGTTTACAGTTTAAACTATGTGTTGTATGGTTATCTCCAGAGTTCACTGTGCCTCGCACTCATGTCCATGAAAAGATAGAAAAGGAGCTAAAGATACTATACCAGTTTTTTGATTGGGAAACTCCTCTTGAGAGACTGTTCTAAGATCCTTGAAGACATTTCACTGAGTCAGAGGACGATTGTGATTTTACCTGAGAATTCTAGTCTCAGTCCAGAATTCTTTCAAGCCATATACGTGTATTTTGGTGGAGAGGCATATCTTTAATAATAGTTAAAAGTTCTTTTTCAGACTAACAGAAAACTCTATGATTTTCATTCTGTTGTTAAATTGACATTAGTGACCAGCTCATTCTGATCCCAATGGGATTGTATTATCAGATGAATGGATTTTTAATTTACAATGCTTGGATTAGGTTAATCTTGCTAACAGTATTGTTCTTACAGATAATGGGAGCGTAAACTATGGGCATCCACCCTGGAATATAGTCTTGTTCTCCTGGTTGCCATTCTTCCAAGAAAAATACACGGAGTCTATGGAAGGTCAAGAGACCCAGTACTACAGTGTTCAGGGAAGAGGGTTGAATAGATTTCATTTGAAAATAGGTTAGAAACTTAGATTCCATTATTCTGCAGAAATGAAGGTGGGATCAAGGAAAGGAGGTAGGAGAAACATAGTAAAGAGAGAAGGAGAAGGGAGCTAGCATTTGATTCTCAACTAGGGTAGGTTATTTAAAGATTTTAGTGTTTTAAATGGTTAGTCCCAAATCTTGGTGTATTTTTAATATGCCAGGTCTCCAAACCTTAATATCTGTTAGGCATACATGAAAGAAAGTGGTTTTCTTATATTGGTATTTTTACTGAGTCCCTAAGTCCTAATTTGCAAATGAACTTATTATAGAAAATTCTGACTTCTTATTAGGAAATCCTCTAATGGCAGTGGTATTAGATATCTGAAGAATCTTTATATGTTTTTTATGAATTCATTTTATGTCCCATTCCCTAGGTTTTTATGAGTTGCAAGGCCTCATTATGCTTTCTCTGAATGTATTTGTTTTTGAAAAACTTAGTTTAGGGGCTCCTGGGTGCTCACTCGGTTAAGGGTCCTGGGATGGAGTCCCACATCAGGCTCCTTGCTCAGTGGGGAGCCTGCTTCTCCTTCTCCCTCTTCAGCTTCCTCTGCTTGTACTCTCTTGTTCTCTCTCTCTCTCTCTCTGACAAATGAATAAATCTTTTTTTAAAAATGAAAGAAAATTCTACCTTGAGTCAGAAAATAAGGTCATAGTGGAAATTGGATATTGTTCCTACCTACTTACCTGGTCTGAGAATAATCATGATTTCTGTCTTAAAGCACAGACTCCTACCCCACAAAATCTTTCTGTTGTCAGTTGTTGGACTCTTCCAACCTAAAGTTAAAATCAATTCTCTACTTGATTTAAAGTGGCTTATTTTTTCTGAAGTCTGTCAGATCTATAGGTACCAAGATATTTGTGTTTATTCTGCAGCCATGTTAGAATTTTTTTACTTTCTTCTGTGCAACATCTTTTGTATCTACAGGCAGCAGGAAAGGATAAATTCACAAAGGGAAGAGATAGAAAGACAACGGAAAATGTTAGCAAAGCGGAAACCTCCTGCCATGGGACAGGCCCCCCCAGCAACCAACGAGCAGAAGCAGAGGAAAAGCAAGACCAATGGAGCTGAAAATGAAACGTATGTTCTTTATTCACATGAGCTGTGAGATACCACACTCTCCCCCAAAATACTGATGTCCCGTTGAGTGACACTGGACAAAATGAAAAATTATGGGGATTTCTAGAGCATTAGCTTTCTTTTTAGTTACATTAATGGATTTACTCAACAATTTATATATAAAAACCATGGAAAATTTATTTTCTTAGTTCTGATCTTACTTAGGTATTTTTGATTGAGGAGGAGAAATAATGTCACTTAACTTGTCATCATGGTCTTTGGCCACTCTTGTAACAAATGTGATGTCATCATGGTAGTCAAATGAGAATAGTTGCTTATGTGCGATTTGGGTTTTGGTACATTGGTACCATCTTATGGTGATTACCTGTATTATTACTTAATAATTAAACATTACTTATTTAAAATATGTCTTTTGCCTTTATGTTTTTATATCCATTCTCAAAAACATATTAAGCCATAATCCACCTCAAGTATAATAATATTTGAATTGCACCATTGTTAAAAGCCCATGATACTCCATTCCAGTGAGAAAGATGGCTTAACGCCAGTACTCACTTCATACATACCTAGTGTGTTGGGAAGCCTTTTCCTTGACATTCATTTAATAAATCTGTGTTAAGTGCTTACAGTTGGCCCCGTTCTGGAAGCTGGGCATACAGAGCCAGAGGATATAGCCCCGGCCTTAGGAGCTTCATGGTTTATTTAGGGGAAATGAACAGATGAATAAACTAATAATTACATTGAGTATAGTGATAAGAATACAGTGAATAAGCTTGGGAAACATCTTCATTCTTTAAATAAATATTTTAAAATTAGATTCTAAAATTTAAAATACTTCCCTTCGGAAAGTCCAAGTAGGAGCCCAAATTTAAAAGTTTCTGGGCAAGCGTTGTACACATTAATCTGATCATTGTCTTCTTTTGCTGTCATTCCTATGTTTATTTTGTGGAGGGACTCCTCCTCCAGTATTACTTGAAAATTGTCAGATGCTCGTGCATAAGACCATTGGCTTAGAAGTAATAGAAGGCATAGGCTGTTTCCTAGCCATAGAACAATAATTAGAATTCAGTCCAGGCCAGTAGTGTGTCAGTAAGCAGTTGCCATCTGGAGTCCTGTGTCAGATCCAAGCTGGAAGGCTTTCAGTCCAGTTTTTAATTAGAGTATCTGTGACTTGGCTCATTCCTTTGGCCAAAAGCCAAAAACATTCCTCTGGAGCCTGAGACTGAGTCACATTATCATTCCTGGTATTGAACCTATTTCAGGCGTGGAGAGTCCCTAGCTGTGATTTTTCACTGCTCCCTTTTTTACTGACGGGATATGGATTAATGGATGTACGTATGTCTGCCACCATGAAGAGACGGGTGTAACAGCCCTAGTGGATACACTTCTTTTTGTTATTCTTCTTATGTTGTTTTAGTCAGACCTCAAGACTGTTTTGTGGCCCTAACTGGTTAATAGCATAGCTGTTTCTTCTTTCTCCTGCAGTTTAGGATATATCTAAATAGTGGCGTCTGAAACTCTGAAGTACGTGTGTACTTCTAGAGTGTGAAGAGAGTGAAGTTGAAGGAGTAAGCTGTCACTTCTTAAGTGCTCATTCTTAAGATGTAAGGGTGCGATCGGGGTAAATGGAACACAGAATTAGTGCTCGCCCATCAGGTCAGCCCTTCGGGAATTGTGTTTAAATACCTTTTCACAATTGATGGAGTATTTCGCCTTCTCATTTAATAGGCACAGCAGCTTTGTTAGAGAGGGACCATTGTTTGCTGCATTTTTAAAAACTAAGACTTAAGTTAAAGTTGATTGTCCAGGGTCACATGGCCAGTGGCCTGAGTGGCACTTTGGACCCTAGACCTCGGACTCCAAATCCTGGACTCTTCCACTATGTCATTCTTCTTATTATAGTAGCACCGTCTAAGAGTTATCAGAAATAGTCAAATCCATTGGCTTATTATTTTCCCTCCAGGAAAAAAAAAAAAAAACCTAAGCATATAATTTTTGGCAGCCTTTCCGAATGGATTTTCATGAGATTGTGTGGACGAAACTCATTTCATAAATAACGTGTAAAAATATAGCTTATTTATTTATTCTCATTTTTTACAAATTAGTCTTCTGGATTTGTAGTCCTTGGTGTCCTATCTGATAAATCACAGAAGTTTTCTCCTGTCAAGGGATTGCAAGATAATCTTTTAGTTATTTTAATAGACTGGATATACCTTACAACATGCCTTGGTATTTCTAATAGGCACATTATGATTTTAAATAATTTACTGGGATTTCTTCCATTATCTTCCAGGTTAACATTAGCAGAATACCATGAACAAGAAGAAATCTTCAAACTCCGATTAGGTCATCTTAAAAAGGTAAGTGTAATGAGAAAAATATTTCTGGAGAAATTAGTTTACATGTGGTATTGGGGCAGATGGCACGGTTTGACATACCTGCAGAAATTTTGAGTAGTTATGCTCACTGTCACATCTTGTAATTTTTTTTAAGATTTTATTTATTTATTAGTTTTAATGAGAGAGAGAGAGAACCTCAAGCAGACTCCCTGCTGAACATAGAACCAGACTCATGGCTCAATCTCAGGATCCTGAGACCATGACCTGAGCCGAAATCAAGAGGCAGAGGCTCAACAGGCTAAGCCCCTCTTATATTTCTTTTTCTTTTCTTTTTTTTTTTTTTTAAGTTTTTTTTTTTTTTTTTTTTTTGACAGGAGAAGCACCCCTCCCCTCTTGTATTTCTAATGATGGAATGTCTTTCAGGTTTTAGTCAACCCCAGCCACCTAGTGGGAGCACTTTTTCTGCCAATGATGTACCAATAGATAATTCTGGATATGTCATAAAACTTCATAAGTAGGGGCGCCTGGGTGACTCATTGGGTTAAGCCTCTGCCTTCGGTGCAGGTCATGATCTCAGGGTCCTGGGATCAAGTCCCACATCGGGCTCTCTGCTCCGTAGGGAGCCTGCTTCCCCCTCTCTCTCTGCTTGCCTCTCTGCCTACTTGTGATTTCTCTGTCAGATAAATAAGTAAATAAATGACATCTTTCAAAACAAAACAGGGCGCCTGGCTGGCTCAGTGGGTTAAGCCTCTGCCTTCGGCTCAGGTCATGATCTCAGGGTCCTGGGATCAAGTCCCGCATCGGGCTCTGCTTGGCAGGGAGCTTGCTTCCTCTTCTCTCTCTCTGCCTGCCTCTCTGCCTACTTGTGATCTCTCTCTGTGTCAAATAAATAAATACTTTAAAAAAAAAAAAAAACTTCATAAGTAGTTCTCCTTATGGTAAAAGTTAAATAAATACATGATACAAGTGGTTCAGATTTGATACGAAAACTCTTAGGATACTTTATATTTTTATTTTAAAAATAATTTATTTGAGAGAAAGAGTTCATGTGTGCATAGATGAGAGAGAGAGAGAGAGCGAGCACACGCACATGCATATGGTGGGGGAGGGGAAAGGAGAGGGAGAAGCAGGATCCCCACTCAGTACGGAGCCTGATGAGGGACTCGATCCCAGGACCCTGGGATCATGTCCTGAGCTGAAGGCAGCCACTTAACCAACTGAGCCACCCAGGTAACCAAAAACTCCCAGGATATTTTAAATCACATGGTAGCTCTTATCTCTTGCCTAAACTGGCTAAGAAGAGAAGGTCTTGTACAAGCTATATTGTAACACAATGGCACCCACATAAAAATTGTTATTGACAGTGTTCGTAGAAGCATCTTGGCTATAGATTGGGCGTCTCCTAAGTTTAACAACCCATACATTTTTGGTAGATGCTGCTTACAGTGATGGTGGTCAATAAGCATTTAATAAACTGCTGTTGGTGTGTGTTTGCTTTTCCTACTGGGTTCTCAGAGATTATTAAATCAGTGGAACTTAAGGCACCAAGCATGATCCATACTTACAAAGCAGAACCAGATAGAGAATCTGATTTTTGTTTAAAAAAAAAAAAAGTGCCTGTATGTAAATACAGAGAACATTTCTGGACATTTACACAAGACTTAAAACAGCAGTTACATCTGAGGAATGGGCGTGTTGGAGAGGAGGGATCAGGGGAGCAGAAGGCTTTATTTCTTACTTGTACTCCTTTGTATGGTTTGAATTTTATTTATTATTTGCTGTGGGCTTGTTTTTTATGATTAAATTTCTAGTTCCTAAAAAAATCTTTTTCAGTTCAAAAAAACCATCTTCCTTTCGTTTTTCAAAAGAGAAATGTCTGCTGTTTTTGAAATGAGATTCTGAAAATGTAGTGTCCTGTGTTCTGAGCTGTTTCTTTCCTTTTCACTTTAGGAAGAAGCAGAGATCCAGGCAGAGCTGGAAAGGCTAGAAAGGGTTAGAAATCTACATATCAGGGAACTAAAAAGGATACATAATGAAGATAATTCACAGTAAGCAACTTGGGGGTATGTTGGGTTGGAGACTGCAGAACACTTTCTGACATGAGTGGTCAAGAATGGTGTTTCTGTTTACTATAAATTGGGTGAATGATTCCATGATGTATTTAGCTCTGTTGCAAGATACAATACAGGTTTGTGAACACAACTATGATTTGCTTTAATTTAAATATATGTAAATATATTAGATCTATATGTTACTGCCTGTACATGTATTACAGCACTTTTACCCAAGTAGAGGTCACTGAAACAATACAGCTTCGCATTTGTAAGTGGCTGGGATATACTGTGTGTTCAGATTCTTGGCGAGCTTTGCTAAATGGAAGCATGGGTAACAGTGTGGTGTCATGGAATGGTACCGGGTTAAGATGGCAGTGGTTTTGTTTGTTTGTTTTTAAGATTTTATTTATTTATTTGACAGATACAGCGAGAGAGGGAACACAAACGGGGAGTGGGAAAGGGAGAAACAGGCTTCCCGCTGAGCAGGGAGCCTGATGGGGGCTCGATCCCAGGACCCTGGGATCATGATGTGAGCTGAAGGCATTCTTAATACCTGAGCCATCCGGGCACCCCAAGATGGCACTGGTTTTGGAAAGACCTTTAAGGGCCATTTGGCTGTTGGGATTTTAAACAAGACTCTCTCAAGTTCAGCACATTAACTGTAGATGAATGCCCACCTTTGTTTATAAGTCATTTAAAGGATTGCAGCTGAAAAGTAGATTAAAGTGGGAAGCAGCTTCGGTGCATAAGCTGTTCCTTCCCATGTTTTTCTGACTCTGAAACATGATTTTTTGGACGTAGCCGTAGCTCGTGTATTTTTGTTTGGCCAGTGTGTGCCGTGGACTTTTCTTTCTGTGAAAATTCCCGTGACTGAGCTGTGTGTCAGGCACGGTGCCACGTGCCCGATGCTGTCAGCTCATCTTGGCAGTTGCGCGGTGAACATCAGTCAGCCTGACCAGGGCCCCGTAACTGTTTGACTAAACAGCGCCAGAGCTGAGCGCCGCGCGGTTGTGTCGCCTCTTCTCTGCAGGCACGTCAGTGTCTCAAAATGAAAATAATTTCAGGATTAATAGTGGGGCTGTTTAAGATCCAGAATTAGGTAGAAATATTTGTGAAGTTTGTTTTTTTTTTTTTTTTGCCAGTGTCTTATTGTTAGAAAACAACACAAGGTGGAATCCTCGGTGGGTGGGCGGGTGGTGACGGCTCTGTCATAAAACGGTCTTAAAGAGAGAACATGAGTGCATATAGAACATGGGACTCCTTCATAATCAAGTCCATTTTTAAGGCCCTGTGAAATATCTTGGAACTTTTTTGTATTAGTTTTGGAACAGTGGGAACATGTGGCACTTGAGTACTTTGGAGGAAGTGAGTAGCGCGGTGCAAAAATCCCTGGTCTTGCGGAGCCTGCACCCCCTCACCGTACAGCAAGTGGTTAGCGATGGTAGTTGGACTCCGCCGCGTTCGCAGGTCCACTTGTGGCTACGCTGAGCCTAGCAGTTCTGCCTTACGGCTTTACAGCCAGTGCTGTCCGTTGTCATTAGGCGGTCTCCTTGAGCCGTATAGCTTCCTATTCACAACTCGCTGTATCGGTGTTAGCACCAAACTATCAGCGGCAGCTGTAATCATGTGTATAGCGTGTGAGAAATTCTGGGAATTTCGCTAGTATGGAAGGTCGTGGATTCCTTAATCTCAGGATGTTCTGTACTCTCTATTCCCACAGATTTAAAGATCATCCAACGCTAAATGACAGATACTTGTTGTTACATCTTTTGGGTAGAGGAGGTTTCAGTGAAGTCTACAAGGTAAGTCTCAGGATCGAATTCCTGATTATTACCAACTTGGAGAACATGAAGAATAGTGATAATTGTGGGTTGATGCTTACTTGTTCAAACTCAGAAACTTTAAGCACCTATATCTTGAGAAGAACTGCTTCCAGTAAAATTAAGTAACTACAGCAGGATACAGTAGTTTTGCCCTGTTTTCCGGTTTGAAAAATAAAAAGGAAAGAAAAACACCCCTTTCTGGGTAGTGAAATTGTGGTGATTTTTATTCTAGTTCTGTACTTCTGCCTCACATTTGTGAGAAATAAGTATGTGTTACTTTTATTCTTTTTTTTTTTTTTAAGATTTTATTTATTTATATGGCAGAGACACAGTGAGAGAGGGAACACAAGCGAGGGGAGTGGGAGAGGGAAAGCAGGCTTCCCGCAGAGCAGGGAGCCCGATGCGGGGCTTGATCCCAGGACCCTGGGATCATGACCCGAGCTGAAGACAGATGCTTAACCATCTAAGCCACCCAGGCGCCCCTACTTTTATTCTTAAAATTTTTTTTTAACAAAATAGATGTGTTAAAGTTAATTCTTACTTGAAAACTGGCTTTTTGTTTTTTAAAATGTTCTCATCTTCTACATCCAAGTGTTTAGTAGCTCTGGTGTTCAAAGGAGCATCCTGGTTTCAGCCAGGCCAGTGACGTTCAGACCACCGTGCCTCCAGCTGGTTTGTACTAAATGAGGAATTCAGCTGGTTTTCAGGATAGCTGCAGATCCAGTAACATGTTCATGAGTCACCACCTCCTTTAGCTTCTAGGTGTTTCTGGCACCAGGTTTTTACATGCAGAATCTGTTTATTAAATGGTCTTTACTGCATGGCCCTGCGAAGTCTGTCTTCATGTGGTTCGGCCTTCACTGTTGGGCTTTATGTTATGCCCTATGAATTTATATATGGGAAATCTTTTGGACAAAATAATTAGTTTTCATTTTAGATAAAAACAGTAAAAACTAGTTCTATCTTCCACATTTTTTGTTTGTTTGTTTTAAAAGATTGTATTTATTTATCTGAGAGAGAGAGAGCACAAGCAGAGACAGAGGCATTGGAAGAATCAGGCTCCCCGCTTTGCAGGGAGCCCGATGCAGGGCTTAATCCCACGCCCCTGGGATCATGACCTGAGCCAAAGGCAGACTCACTGAGCCACGCAGGTGCCCTTACCCCCACTTTTTTATTGTTACAAAAAAACTATATTTTCCAAAACCGTTAGTGCCTCGTGTGGGGGTGTGTGTGTATATTTTTTTTTTAATTGAAGTCTAATTGGCACATGATGTTTTATTAGTTTTAGGTGTACAATATAATGATTTAATGGTTTTCCTTTTTTTTTTTTAAGATTTTATTTATTTATTTGAAACAGAGAGAGAGAGATCACAAGTAGGCAGAGAGGCAGGCATAGAGAGAGAGAGGAGAAAGCAGGCTCCCCGCTGAGCAGAGAGCCCGATGCGGGCCTCAATCCCAGGACCCTGAGATCATGACCTGAGCTGAAGGCAGAGGCTTAACCCACTGAGCCACGCAGGCGCCCGGTTTTCCTTTTTTTAATGTTAATTTTTTACTGTGAGGATATATTCATAAAATTTGCCATTTTAGCCATTTTAAGTATACAGTTCATTTGCATTAAGTATATTCATAATGTGCAAGTACCTTCACTATCTCCTTCCAGAACTAGAATATTATTCTTAATGTACTATTGGGCTTGATTTTCTAGTGTATCATGTTTTATTATCTATTTGTAAGTGGGACTTGCCCATAGTTGTCTTTCGTGTATAAGAAGCATTTTCTAGCTTCTGTGCTCTAGTTTTCCAGAATAAGTTGTTCCTATGTATATAACCACCCCCCCCCCCCCCCCCGCCACCCAATGCCCTGGAATGCATGACATAGGAATTGTTGGCCCCTTGAAAGTTAGAGCAGACTCAGTCCCATGGGTGCATGTCATTGTACAGGAAAACTTTTTGACCATCTTTTTAGTTCCTTCTGCAAATACTGATTTACGTATATTTTCTCCCCCTTCTCAAGTCTCTTTTGATAATTTAATTTTTCTGCAACATCTTCTGCTTCACCTCAAATTTAAAAATATCATCCATACCTTAATGAAACGTTTATTTTTATATCCCAACTGATAGGTCAGAGAGGTTAGTCAATGTTTTTTTTCTTCCCTCTAAGAATGAACTTTTTATTTTGTTGATCAAGTCTACTGTTTAATTTGGGTTTTTCTTTTCATTAACTTTTACTTTTAGTCTTTCCTTCCTTTTGCTTCCTTTGATTTTGTTTTCATTCTTGAATCATAGTTTTTTATTTTTGATAATTTTATTCAATTGTAAGAAAAAAAACCAAAATTTACCATCGTTAACCATTTTTTTAAAACAGTTGAGTATTGTTAGGTATGTTTATGTTGTTGTGAAATAGATCTCCAGAACTTTCTCATCTTAGAAAACCGAAACTTTGCCCATTAATCAGTAGTTTGCTCTTGGCCTCCCCCAGCCCTTGCCAGCCACTGTTTTGCTTTCCACTTCTGCGAATTAGACTACTTTCAGATACCTCTATAAGTGAAATCACAGTATTTGTCTTCTTGTGGGTGCCTCAGTTCACTTAGCAGAATGTTCTTAGAGTTCATCCATGTTGAAGCATGTGATAGGATTTCCTTCTTTTAAGGGTGAATAATATTCCATTGTATGCACATACTTCCTTTTCTTTATCCGTTTATCTGGCAGTGGACATTGGGGCTGCTGCTGCTGCTTGTGTGTCGTAAATAGCACTGCTTTGAACATGTGTGTGCAGATAGCTCTTGGAGACCTTGCTTTTAATTCTTTTGGCTGTAAACCCAGAAGTGAGACAACTCCTTTTTTAAAGCATCAAAATTTATTGTTGGTGCTTCTCAGTAGCTCGTCAGTGATTTCTTCATCCTACTTTTCCCCTAGTGTGTTCCTTAAACCTTTTAACATTCCTGAAATTTAGATGGTTCCTCCAGTGTTGTGTACATTCCATATAGTTCTTCTTTTGCTTTTCTCCACTCTCCAGAAGCCCTTCTTAAAATCAGTGGTGGATCACAATGTCTTGGATTCAGAAATATGGTGTGGTAGGTGGAGAGAAAGACACTTGTAGTATCGTTAGTGCTCTCATTAATTTGGTGCTATTTGATCTGGCTTTTGAGGCTTGAAATCATTCTCTGCTGTGAAGCCAAGATGGTGTACAAGCTTGCAGCCGGACTTCAGGGTCTGTAAGAATTTTCATTTCTGTGAAATAAGAGAATTCTATTTGAACTGTATGGTTTTTATATTTTAAAAACTACTGGTTTAAATTTAGTATAAATTGGAAGTTTCTTTTATGAGCAGCCCTCTCTTGCATTTAGTGCTTTCCCAGAGGTAGCATACATTTTAAAAGGTCTGCTGAACAGTAACCATCACTATTCATGGACTCTGCCTCTGCCTCTTACCTTCATCTGTTCTACAGTTGCGGAAACTGTCAGATGGTGGTAATAGTGTTGGAACTGAAGTATTAAGTTTCTCATCTGAACTTTAAAAACTAAGAAAAACTTCATTTCAAAGGAATTCCTCAGTAAATTCTTCTGTATAATAGAAATTTCCTATTATATTAAAATACCGCTCACTTTATCAAATTGTGATTTACACCCAGCATCCTCAAAAACCCACCTGTTTCCCTTCTTCCCTCTATGATACAGCACTACCTGCTGGTGGAGGACTTGCCAGCAGTGGCAGTCTTTGGGGAAAGTCTGTCCCTTTCTTAGGACATTGCCAGAGGAGTGACCTGGTGTGACTAACTTCAGACATTGTTGGGATCAAAAACTGCTTTTTATTTACCCATCATATATGGCTAGGGCTGTTTTTTTGTTTCAGTCCCTGTTTGTGTTTTAATAAACACAGTATAACAAATTATGAGGTTATTTTTCTAAACAAGCACAGTGAAAAGGTGTATCTGGAGGGGTTATTTCTCATGGAACAGGTAGTGTGTGTTCCCAGCATTTCAAAAGTGTTAGGACTTGCTAGGGAAGCATGCCAAGTCCCAGTGTCAGCAGAGGGGTGAGGTACAGCCCCGGGGAGCAGGTCCCAGAGAGGGCAGATGGATGATGTCCACCGAGAAGACTGTTTGGAAGGGACTGATAAGGCACAGGCTGGCTTGCTGTTTGTGGTGTGTGCTCGGTTGTTTTCTAAGCCCCTTGGTGCCAGTGCGTCTGGAGACTTCTGAATTATCTGATCACAAGTTTTCAGAAGATGGCTGTAACTCTGAAACAAGTACGCGATAATGTTGTCATCCACGGCTGTTTGTATTTAATAATGCATTTTGGGTTTTGAGTACATCCATGTGTTAAATAGAAGCCTCAAATCCGTTACTTGCCTGTAATTCTTGTTAGCTTTTATCCAGAATATAACGTATTCCTTTTCTTTGTAGGCATTTGATCTAACAGAACAAAGATATGTAGCTGTGAAAATTCACCAGTTAAATAAAAACTGGAGAGATGAGAAAAAGGAGAATTACCACAAGTAAGTGACACCAGAGGGGCTGATTTGTCAGAATTCAGTAGCGTGGCGGCTGCAGTGTGAGCCCCGTGTTAACAGCGGTGTGTGCATTGCTGGGGTGGTGTCCTTAGGAGAGTGAGCAACTGTTCCATCTCACTGATGAGCAAACTGAAACTTAACAGAATGCAAGTAATAGTTAAGAAAAGGCTGAGCTGGTATTTAAATCTAGACTTCCCTCAATCCAAAACCCATGCTCTTCAACCTCCCTTTCCATTGTGTGTCTAACATTAGCTACAGTAAACAAGCAAAGCCTCAGAAACCATCTTGCTTGTTTGTAGAGAACAGATGATAATGCTTTGGGGAACCTGGGGAGCTTTGGGCGGGACTTTTTCCGGCTGTTTCAATCATTTCATCATGGAGGAGACAGTGGGGGGGCACCTGGGGTGCTTCAGCGGTACTTATTTGACTCCTTTAGCTCCTCAGTGCTGCGCTCACCTCCCCGTCAGCTTCCCCTCTCAGAATGCTCCGTGTTCAGCATCTTGCTTACTATACTTGCCTGGCTTCGGAAGGCCACTCGTGGCTGTCTGTCGCCATATTTAGGGAGGGGCCGGGGAGAGTGACTGCTTTAGACGGAGTGATTATTACATGTACAGGTGTGAATTTCTTCTATCCACTAATGTCAGGTTTTGCTTGTTTCCCCTGACCCCGAGCTTCAGAACATAGGAATTCATGGCTTATTTCGTTTGGAGGCCAGGCATACCTATTTTGCTTTTAGGATCCCTCCCTGGGCTTAGTATTGTTTCCTCGTTGTATGTACAAGCACTGAGTTAGACGTGCCCTAACCCTAAAGGGAGAAGACAGGCCCCCCGCCCTTTTTTTAGAATTGTATTTATTTGGGGCGCCTGTGTGTCTCAGTCGTTAAGAGACTGCCCTTGGCTCAGGTCATGATTCTAGAGTCCTGGGATCGAGTCCCACATAGGGCTCCCTGCTTGGCAGGAAGCCTGCTTATCCCTCTCCAGCTTCCCCTGCTTGTGTTCCCTTTCTCGCTGTCTCTCTCTCTGTGTCAAATAAATAAGTAAAAGATTAAAAAAAAAAATCTGTTTGGCAGAGAGAGAGAGAGCGTGCACAAGCAGGGGGAGGGGCAGGCAGAGAGGAAGCAGACTCCCCGCCGAGCAGGGAGCCTGATGCCAGGCTTCCATCTCAGGACCCTGGGATGGTGACCTGAGCCAAAGGTAGATGCTTTGCCAACTAAGCCACCCAGGCACCCAAGACAGCCCTCTAAGATAAAAACAACCCACCTCCTTTCTGTAAAAGCAGTTTTGGGGTTTTTTTTTCTTTCTTTTTTTTTTTTTCAAGCTTTTATTTATTTATTTGACAGTGATCACAAGTAGGCAGAGGCAGACGGAGAGAGAGGAGGAAGCAGGCTCTCTGCAGAGCAGAGACCCGACGTGGGGCTCTATCCCAGGACCCTGGGATCATGACCCAAGCCGAAGGCAGAGGCTTTAACCCACTGAGCCACCCAAGCGCCCCTGGGTTTTTTTTTGTTCTTACAAATAGTCCTTTGGAGAGAAAAATAGCAGTGGTCTTTGACCACTTTGAAGTAGCCTTTTAATTGGATGCTAAAGCTCATTTCTGCGTCCTCACCTGGTTCTTGGGGCACAGACTAAAGCAACTCTTACTACGTTCCTGTTACTTACCAGGGGTGCAGGAGCGCTTCCTCCCCCATGCAGATGGGCAGTGGCGCTCAGCACTGGAGAAGTGGAGGCTCCTGTGACATTAAGGGAAATGGGGCTTAGCAGAGGTACAGGAAAGGGGATGGTGTGTGGTTTATGCATGGCGCCCTGCATGTGCGTCTTGCGTGACAGGCAGCTGCGGTCCAGATGCGTCTGAGGAGCAGTTGGATTATTAGACGTGCATTCTAGTCACTGGTGTGCGGGGACGAACGGCATGCCACAGTGAACGCTGGGAGCACTTCAGAGAAGGAGACCACATGTTGTTGTGACCAGTTAATGAAGGAGAAATGTCCGCGTCATACTGAGATTGTCAGGAGTGCATAAGGGTGTTGGAACTCTATGTGCTTCTCAGTAGAAATGCTCTTCAGCTCTGCCTGGAGCCCGTTCTCTGTCTTGTGTGTGCACTGAGCCCTTGACTTCGTGATGGGCCAGCCGTGGTCAACCTTGAGAAAATGGTTCATGGGCTGGGATTGACCCATGCTTTGCCTGGGCTCAGTGTGCAGGTTTTCGGCTTGCCCAAGAAGGAACTCTGCTGAGGAACAGGGCGCTGTAGGGGCTGCTGCCTGCCTTAGGCTTCTGTGGAAGCAAGGGGAGAAGCCGGGACCGTGTGCCTCCGCAGCGCATTTGGCAAGCTGCTCCAGGGGCTGCCGGCTAGGGATCGGGGCTCTGTCTCCCATTCCTCTGCTGCGCGGAATCAGAGCAAGAGGAGGGGGTTGGTCTCATTTTTCTAAGCTCTTGACTGCTCTAGCTCCAGGCTCGCAGCCGTACCTCACTACCCTTTCGTTTCTTCACCAGAGGTGGGAATTGTGGCACCCAGGCAACTTCTGGGGAGCCGTCTCTGCAGGGGCCATTTCTGAGCCGACAAACATACGGGGGAAGGGCATGCGGGGTTCTGGTGACACTCGCGCCTGGGGAGAGATTCCTAAGCACCTCTGCCTTGCTGCGGAAGAGTTTGCTTGACATGGAATCATAGTGGTGAATAGAGGCTGCATAGATAAGTGAATTAGCAAAATGTCATTAACGCCTTTGAACTTAAAGAAGGCTTCTTCTATCAAGCATGTAACATTTTAGAGAGTGCTTTAAAAATTTAGTATTAAACTAAAAAGTGTACACTTTGGTGGTGTGATAACATTGTAACATACGAAAATGCTGCTGTTCTTCTGCACAGTAATGCCTTTGATTGCTGTATTATTGTGGGAGTGACTTCCCAGTCCCATCTGGAATCAAGGCATTTATTTGGGTAAAAAAGAAGGAAGAACTCTAAAAGATAGTTTTGCTTAATTTGGGGTTCTTTTCTGAACCTCCTTTCCTCTCCTCCCCCCACAAACAAACAGCAAACTGATTGTTTTACTTTTGCATTATTAAAGCATTAGTATTACAAGATTTACCTCCCCCAAATAACATATTAAGAACTCCATGGTAGGAAACATTTCCTATAAAGCTATCCACAGAAATAATTATATCTGAAATAGTTTATTTTTATGTATGATAGTCTTTTAATTTTTAGGATAAAATCATTTTGGAAGTCTAAATATATATCCACTTACAAGAGAGTAAAAAACTAACACAGTATTGGATATGTTTCCTCCAGTTTCTAATTAAAGTTTCTGTATTTGTATTTCATTAACCCCTCGGGTGCTAAATTCAAAGTTGAACATGTGAAGGATGTGGCAGGAGCCACTGGCTTGCCTCATGAGGCGGGAGAAGCAGGCTTAGAGCCTGACAGAGTGACCAGAGATAATACCCTGGTTGACAAGGACTTTGAATGACCCTCCCTTTGGTTCTTAATTTTTACATCCTTTAGTTTCCTCTGTTTTCTGTACCTTGACAGAGAAATTGGTCTCTGCTCTGAAATATACAACAAAATCAAGAAGTTTAAACAGAATGGCAAAGAACTATACACTTCTAGTGTGTTAGCGTGAGAAATGACTGAAATGGTTATCTGGTTGGTCCCTAGCTTTCTAAACTTGGCTTTTGTGAGCAGCATTACCTTAATTTTACTGAATGAAATATCACATGGAATCTTGATACTTGAAAAGGACAGGTGTGATGCTGCTTAGGTGGGGTGGGGGATGGGGGTCACAGCTGCGTTTGCTCAGTGTCTGCACGGGGGCTTGGGAGGCCTGGATCTCCAGGAAGCAGCCTTTGAAACCTCCAGTTGCGTGCAGCCCTGGGGAAGCCCAGATAAGCGACATCACAGAGCTGGGACTCGAGGCCAGATTTCCAGCTCCCAGCATAGTGGGTGTCCTAACAACTGCTCTGCCTAAATGCTGACAAGTCTTTTCTTTTCAGAAAGACATAAAGATGATGGAAGTATCAGAAGAAGGAAAAAAAAAAAAAGCCAAAAGTGGCAGCTTAAAAAATAAGCTTAGATCAAATACAGTTTTCATCTGGGAAAAACCTGTTTATTTCTTTTAGATTCCTTTTCCTCTCTTCTCCTTGCCCTGATTGTTTCCTCGGCTTTTCTTTAGTTGAGTACTTTTTATGCATCTTTGTCATATTGTAATATGTTTCAGAAAACATCAACTTAGTTTTATTTTACCATACTCTGCAAAGTTTCTCTTTTCTGAGTCTTGCCTTATAAGAAAATGCCCCAAATTAAATGGTGCTAGCTTACTTAAAATTTAAAAATTTTCCGTCACTCTTTGTATATAAGAACAAAATACTTTAAAAATTATTGGTAATTACACTGAATAAACTTATTCTGTAATTCTTTTAAAATTCAATGAATATGTGAGATTATATGGTTTGTTGTTGTTCCTAATCTTGCTAAATGATTTTAAATTGGAAAAGCACTAAAAAAAAAAGTTAATATGTTTATGTAAGCTCTCATCCCAAGAAAACTGGGGTTCAGTGATGTTCTTTTTTCTTTTTTTAAAGATTTGTTAATTTGAGGGAGCGTGCAGGTGTGCACTCGCACACACGCAGACAGGCACGTGCTAAGGGGGTGGGGCAGAGAGGGAGAGAGAATCCCGAGCAGACTCCTCACTGTGTGTGGAGCCCATTGTGGGGCTGGATCTCACTCTTCTGAGATCATGATCTGAGCCGAAATCAAGAGTTGGACACTGAGCAGAATGAGTCACCCCAGCATCCCGGGTTCCATAATTTTTTATCAGTTTCACATTAGAAGAAAGTAAAGCTGATAGCCCTTTCATATTATAAGGAGAATTTTAAAACAAATAAAAAGTACTGCTAGTATCGCCTTATATAATCTGTAATCCTTTTACCCAAGGAGTTTAAATGCCAAAATTGATCTCCTTGTTGTATCCCCGGGATATAAACATTTATAGATATGAATTATCAGCTTTTGAGGGGAAAGAAAAACTCTCTTTATAATTTTTAAAGCTTTGGTATTTGGGTATAAATATTAAACAGGTGAGATAGTGATAGAATGAACTTGAAAGGGGTAAAAGGTTGGTAAAAGTCATTCAACAAATATTTGAGCACCTGCTACTTTCTCAACAGCTTGGTAGACACCAGTAGTGAAAATAGGATGAGGAAAGGTATGGGGGCCAGCCAGACCTGAATGCATAGGCAGAAACAAGAAGCAATGAGAGCATATGTAGGTGTATCCTTGAAGAGGTCTGAAAGATAGTCCAAAATGCAAAAATACAAAATGTTAATTTTCCACTTTGTTTGCAGGCATGCATGTAGGGAATACCGGATTCACAAAGAACTGGATCATCCCAGGATAGTTAAGCTGTATGATTACTTTTCACTGGACACTGACTCGTAAGTGCCGTGCCATTTTAGCTTAGCAGTTGATACTGGTTTCTTGTGGTGTGTTGACTACTCATGGAGTAGAGTTTCAGTCTGGGTCGAGGAAATGCCCTCTGAGGGAACCGGGTGCATTTATTCCTGGGCAGATGAACCTGCGTGAATTCACATTTGGGCCAGCAGTACATCTCTTAGCTACAGGATCCGTGCAGTGGTGTGCTGGTAAATGTTTAACAACCAGCTGGGTGGGGAGGGGAGAGGATGCATTCATAGTATTGGACACGTCCTGTGATAATGAATTTCTCAGCATGTCTAGTTTCACACTGAAAAAAATCCAGCTTTATTGAGATATCATTTGAATACCGCATAGTTCACTCTTTTAAAAGTATACAATTCAAGGCTTGTAGTATAGTCACAGATATGTGCAGTCATCGCCATAGTCATTTTTAGAACATGTTCACTACCTCAGAAAGAAACCCCATATTTTTTGCTGTCGCTCCCCTAGTTCCCCCTCCCCCGACCTGGCCCCCAGGCCTAAGCAGCCACTAATCATTTTTTTTGTCTCTGTAGATTTCCTATTCTGGACTTTCATGTGAATGACTCATGGTATATAGACTTTTATGACTGGCTTCTTTCATTTAACAAGACGTGTTTTCAAGGTTCATCCTTACTGTAGCATGTATCAATACTTCATTCCGTTTTTGACCGAATATATCCCATTGTATGAATGTACCACCTTTTGTTTGTCCATTCATCCTACCAGTGGCTTAATAACCAGCTCATGAAATGCCTGAAAATTTAACTATCAGCTCTTGGTAACTGTCACAAGTTGGTGCCAGCTACCTCTGACACGCACCAGTGAGTGTGGCCCGTACAGGAGTCTGCCCCAGCTAGAGATTCTGATGAACAGTGATAGGCCTTTCAAGGAAGGACCCGCAGTGTGATTTTATCATACAACGGGAATGAACGTAGGCAAATGAAGGCATAACCCAGTGCTGCACGTGAAGTAGAGCCTCACAGGCGTGTAGGAGGTTGGAGGTGGAAGGGATCTCAGTTCAGCTCTCTCACTGAATAGATGGAAATTTGTGGACCAGGAAAGTTAAAGGACTTGCCCGAGATCTATAATACTCTTAGGCATTGTTGTATAATGTTACCTGATATAGGTAAGCTCTGTCACCTTTGGGCTTATCAAGGGGTTTAGAAATACTTGAGCATTTGGGAACGTTTTTTCTGTAGGACTCTGAACTGAGTGAGGAGAATGTACCTTAGAGTCTGGCCAGCAGGTGTTCCTTTTTGCCCTGCAGGATGATTCTGGGCGTTTTGGCCTATTCCACACAGTAGCTGTCTCACAGGTTCTGTGCCGAGAACTGTCCCACATTTAGAAATGTTTCCAAAAGGGGAGAGACCTTAACTCCCTTTGGAAATGTGAATGATCCCTTCTTCCCACCTGTTCAGGGATGTTCCCTTTCCAGAAGGGTGACCCTTGAACTGGCATAGTCAGTGTGTGGTTAGCATGGGTGGAGTTTAGATGAGTATCTAGGTAGAGAACAGGTCTCCACAGGGTGGCCTTACCTTTTTGCTTTGAATAAATTCTTGAATACTAGATAGACTGTCATTCCCCCCCACCCCACCGCCACTACCCCTCAAAATGTAAGTACAAAAAACATCTCAAAAAGAAGTATGACTTGGATTATTTGCAGTTTTGAATCCTGTATACACTTTTAACTAATCTGAGGAATTGATTTGGTTGTCTGCTATTTTTTAGTTTATTTTGGTCCTCCTACTGTGTGCATGGTGAATTTTCACCATCATTTTATAAAATCTTCTGAGAGTTGTTTGGGTGTTAAAGTGAGATTTTATTTTAAGCTTGCACTTGGGTCAAGGAATACATAGACCAAGCATGAGAGTCTATGTCTCAGATCAGAGAGTCTATAAATTTTTGATATTTATCCTTAAATAGTGTGCTAACATGCCCTAGTGTGTTTCATAAGAAACATAAGCTGGTCAGTTCAGGATCTCATAGGACCGTGTTTGTCTACCTTCCATTGCAGAGGTTTTTGAAGGCCTCAAATGGCCTGGGGGCCATAGTGCTAGTCCCAAGTGTGTTTGCTCTCGGCTCTGCTCCTCACCCTTCCCCTGCTCTGCATCTTAGCTGAGTTGACCCTTGTAGGCTTTTTTCCCCAGGCTCCTGTGTCAGTTGTTGTTCAGCTGGTTTCAGCCACTGCAGAGACAGAGTTGGTGGCGGGGAGAGAGAGAGAGACACACACACACACACACACACACACACACGCACACACACCCCGCTGTGATTCCAGCTCAGTTCTGGTTGCACCATCTCTGCCGTCTGGCCCTCTGGCCTTAGGGTGCTGATGGCTTCCTGTCTAGATGATCTCTGGGGTGCCTCACTGGCCAGTTTACCCTCTCAGCTCTTCCATCATCCATGTGATGGGTGCCCTGCATTAAAACCTCTCTATTTTATTTCCTGACTAGAGCCTGAGTGTTAACACCCACATTGTCACAGCTTAGGATAATTTAAAAGGTCTTCATCTCTCAGGTTTACTCAAACAATTCAAGAAGCCTTACTTTGGTTTATAATAGCCTTGGAAGATAGACACGTGACCCTTAGTGCTACAAATGGTATATAGTTTTAGATTTGAGTCTGTATGATGTATTGATGTTAAGTGGAGGAAAAAACTCATACTATGTAATGACACATTTGTTAGAATCACAGATACCATGCTTTTAAAAGATTTTATTTTTTGACAGAGAGAGTGCACAAGCAGGGGGAGCAGCAGGCAGAGAGAGGGAAGTGGGGAAGCAGGCTCCCTGCAGTGGGGAAGCAGATGTGGGGCTTGATCCTAGGACCCTGGAATCATGACCTGAGCTGAAGGCAGACGCTTAACTGAGCCACCCAGGCACCCTGATACTGTGCTTTTTAAAAGTTCTTTATACCTTGTGTTTAGCAAGGAGACATTATAGTACAGTATTGTGTCAGACTGCCATATGACATGACATGTAACCAATTCATGGGACCTGGGCAAACCGTAGATTCTTTGTTACTGTCAGCACTCGGGTCATACGAAATGTTTGCTTTGAGACTTGTGTACCTGATCACAGTCTGCTCGCTTAGAACTGGAGCACGGCAGGGATATGTGTAGGAGAGCCTTCTGGAAAGATACCTAGCTGACGTACATTACAGTTCTTGTCAGTCTTCGTATAGTCTGGATGTAAGAAGAGGAATGTCCTGGGTGAACTGAGGCGCAGCAGATTGCCATGTTGGAGGCTGGGAAGGCTGTCCACCAGGGCTCTCCTTCCTGTCAGCCTCTCAGTAGCTACTACCGAATAAAGAACAGTACTTTAAGGAATGAAGAACAGAGCACGTAGCTATAATTACCTGGTTTCCACTGGGGCTGGCTGAAGAAGTCTTAATCTGCTTGTTCTTTCCCACCGTCAAATGTCGGTTTATTTGTCTTTAGGTTTTGTACAGTATTAGAGTACTGTGAGGGCAATGACCTGGACTTCTACCTGAAACAGCACAAATTAATGTCGGAGAAAGAGGCGCGATCCATTATTATGCAGATTGTGAATGCTTTAAAGTACTTAAATGAAATAAAACCTCCCATCATACACTATGACCTCAAACCAGGTATGTCTAACTTTTAGGCGACTGTATTGATGGTTTTTCTCTGGTCTTCGAAGTGACTTGAAATTTTACAAAGTCAGAGAATGTGAGGGAGGCTGGAAGCCTCGTCGCGGCTGGCTCTGCCCGGGCAGGTATGGGAAGAGTCCTGGCCCGGCAGTGCTGGGCTGGAGAGGGGGAGTGGGACTAAGTCCTCAGGAGAAACAATGCCCTTGTCTTTAGGGCCAGGGCATTTCATGATGTCAGCCCGATTAAGAAAGAACTGCTCTAGCAAGCTCAGCTTTGTTTTTTTCCCATTACTCACACTATGTAGCCGTTCCTCTCCTCCAAGTCTCTTTGGTAAGTGCCCCCAAATGAACGAGTGATTTTGCAAGTCCGTCTCCCATTTCATTAAATCCCAGCAGTCTTTCATCTTTTTGTATGGTTACTATGTAAACTTCAGTAAACCTCCGTGAACAGGAGAGGCCAGTTACTTACCCCTGTTTTTTTGTTGTTGTCCTCCTGGGCTGTTTTTCAGAGTCTCTGTATGTTCTCTGTAGACAGCTGGCACCACCAGTGTTTGGAAGATGGTTCCCATTTACCGCTTGGTGGGCACAGTTGTTAACTCTGCTTCCCTCTCCTGGTAGTTACGTATTAAATCTCACTGTTCAGTATTCTTCAGTGTTCTCATACAGTTCAAATGACTAAAAAATTCATTACAACAAAGTGATTTTTAAAATGATGGCCATTGTGTGATTGGGTTTTCCATCACTGAATCCAGTACGTTTTCCCGGCGTAGGAGCTGTAGGTGGCACTGTGGTACTAGCTTTGATTCCCTTGTATATTTCTGTGTTTTTTATTTTTGGGTTTCTTTTTTTTTTTTTTTTTTTGGTCCTGAAACGACTATTCTAAAACAGGGTGGTTTAGAGATCGTTACTGAAAGTTCATATGAAACTTCCCCACCATTTTTGACCAACTGTCCAAGTGGTATTTTACTTTGGCAAGTTACTGTTTTTTTCCCCACTGCTCATAGTGGTGGTTTTGGCACATCTAGCAGGTGATTCTTGGAAAATGGAAGTTTGCAGCCAGACGCTGAGGACTCTCCTCCAGCATCCAGAGTCCAGATCATTTTATTCCAGGAATTTAGATGTTGCTATTAATGTACAAGAGTTTGACTTCAGTTGTCCCCTTCTTGTCTGTTATTACCTTGAACTTGTCTCTTCATTAGTCTCTTTTTATTTATGAAAGTTTTCATCTTTTTAGGTAATATTCTTTTAGTAAATGGTACAGCATGTGGAGAGATAAAAATCACAGATTTTGGTCTTTCCAAGATCATGGATGATGATAGCTACAATTCCGTGGACGGCATGGAGCTAACGTCACAGGGTGCTGGTACTTACTGGTAGGTATCCATCTGGGAGATCTGCCAGGTTGGCTGGTGGAGATAAGGCTGTCCTATTCTGAAATACTGGTAATTAATGATTAATATCTATGTCCTTTCTTAGGCAAAAATGCTGTAAACCAAAGTAGACTTTCCTTCTCAGATATTACTGTCTTTCCAGCAGGTTGACTCTTTGTATTTAGTTCATTATTCTTTCCTTTTTGGAAACCATTGAGAGAGGTTATATGTAGCCAGGTGTTGGAGTTGTGTGTGTTTCTTCCTAGGGCTTGCCCCATGGAGTAGGAAGAGAATGAGATTGCTCATATGTATTTAAAGAATGGCCCCAAATTATTTTCAGTACAAGTGAAGCGTGTGTGCGCTCCGTCTCTCTTTTTTTTTCCGAGAGAGGGAGAGAGAAGGTGAGGGGAGAGAGGGAGAGAGAGAAAGAGAATCTTCAGCAGCTTGACACTCTGTGCAGAGCCTGAAGCGGGGCTCAGTACCACAACCCTGAGATCACGACCTGCGCTGAAATCAAGAGTTGGACACTTAGCCGACTGAGCCACCCAGGCGCCCCATTGCAGGTCTCTTCTTGTGCATTAACAGGCTGAGGGATTCATCTCTGGAGTTGCCGGAGGATGGTAGACTGCCAAGAACTAAGGAGTTGTGAAAGATCAGTATGTAAAGTAACCTCAGGATCCCTTGAAATCTGAACAGGAAAAAAGTGCAGCTGGCCAAGAAATGTATCCATCTCCTCAGCCATGCTCTAAAAGGTTTTGGGCCACATAGCTTCCATCTGTTGCCTGGAGCTACCCTTACCCCAGCTAGCTCTGTGACCTCCCCTACCTCTGCCTGGTCTTCCTTCAGACAGTGAGAACCATAAAAGATACCTGCAGCCCAGGCATTTAACTTTGTGATTGTAAAGCCGTGGCCACAGAGCTTCGTTTTCACTTCTGAGGTGGTAACGGAGCTCCATGTCGGGTGTGTGATTCCAGCGTGGAGAAAGCCTCCAGCAGCACCGAGGGAGGGGTTACATACACTGTTAAACCCCATGGTCTGTTGGTCAGATCTCTTATGTTTGCGACTGGAGGGCCCTGGGCTTAGCAGAATAGTGACTGCCTGGAAATGAGGGTGTGGGTTGGAAGCAGACAGAGAAGGGGAGTTCGTTCACAACCCACAAGATGGGCTCTGTCCTCATCAGTCTGATCATGTGTAAGTTACGTATGTCAGAGAAACCATCAAATCCTGAGAAAAACATCATGTGCACAAAATTTCTATTTTCATTGCTCCTTATTTTTTGTGGAGATGGTACCTATAGTGAAAATCAGTACCTAAATTAAAACTTGGAGATTCTAGGTTTAAAATAGAAGCTACATTTACAGTGTTTATTTACTATGGTGGTTATTGTGGGTTAGTGTTCCTGTCGCTAAATGACACAAAAATATCTCTTATTGGGGGTTCTGGAAACAGGTCTATACCTCTGCTATATAAATTCACTAGAACTTAGATTTTGGCTTTTTGTTTTGTAGCTTGTTCTTTTTAAAAAGTGAAGCCTTTTAAATGTTTAGTTTTCTCATTGGTACCTATTGCTATATTTGCTAAGCTATTAAAAATTAAGTGGAGGGGATACCTGGGTGGCTCAGTGGGTTAAAGCCTCTGCCTTTGGCTCAGATCATGCTCCCGTGGTCCTGGGATCAAGCCCTTCATCGGGCTCTCTGCTTGGCAGGGAGCCTGCCTCCCCCGCCTCTCTCTGCCTGCCCCTCTGCCTACTTGTGATCCCTGTCAAGTAAATAAATAAAATCTTAAAAAAAAAAACAAAAAAAAAACTGTGAGAAAGCTCTATATGGAAACTTCTTCACATGGTATATAAAAGATCACCGTTTGGTCCCTTCCAAACTAACATAAACTATATTTGGGGTCGCCTGGGTGGCTCAGCGGGTTAAAGCCTCTGTCTTTGGCTCAGGTCATGATCCCAGGGTACTGGGATCGAGCCCTGCATAGGGCTCTCTGCTCAGCAGGGAGCCTGCTTCCTCCTCTCTCTGCCTGCCTCTCTGCCTACTTGTGATCTCTGTCAAATAAATAAATAAAAATCTTTAAAAAAAAATTTAGTGGTTGACAGAGCTGTACTCCTGAAACAAATAATACATTACATGTTAATTTTAAAAATGTAAAAAATAAAAAAAATTTAGTGGTGAAATTTAAACAAAAATTATGTTTGGGAATTGGCTTCAAAGTAATGTTTGTGGGGGGAGGGGTATACAAACAAAGATTGGCCCCATGTTGATATTTATTGAAACTGGGTGATGGTTACTTGGGGATTCATTTTACTGTTCTTTCTACTTTGGATTATATTTGAAGATTGGTTTCATAGTAAAAGGTGAGATGGAGAGGGATGCTACTGAGAATATTTAATTCCGTGGGTTCCTGTGAAGGTTTACAAAGTCTCCATGTTGGTACAAGCATTGTCTTAATCACCTTCCTCATATGTTATCCTGTTGTGACGTCTGCAGAGATATAAACAGGACAGGAAGACATAACAAATTCTAGGTTGGTTGTTGTAGTATTTGGTAGAGTTCTTCTCCATTGAACCCTGCTTTTATTTTAAGATTTTTTTTTTCAAGATTTTATTTATTTGTCAGAGAGAGAGGGTGAGTACGCAGAAGCAGGCAGAGTGGCAGGCAGAGGCAGAGAGAGAAGCAGGCTCCCTGCCGAGCAAGGAACCTGATGCGGGACTCCATCCCAGGACCCTAGGATCATGACCTGAGCCAAAGGCAGCGGCTTAACCCACTGAGCCATTCAGGCGTCCCTAAGATTTTATTTTTAAGTAATCTTGACACCTAACGTGGGAATCGAATGCATGCCCCTGAGATCAAGGGTCACGTGCTCTGTGACGCCTGGGTGGCTCAGTTGGTTAAGCAGCCTACTCTTGATCTCAGCTGAGGTCTTGATCTCAAGGTTGTTAGGTCAAGCCCCGCAACAGGCTCCACACTTAAAAAACAAACAACCAAACAAACAAAAAAGAAGTCGCATGATCCACTGACTGAACCAGTCAGGCCCCCTGAATACTGCTAAATAAACGACCAGTAAACTAGACCTTGAGAATCTCCTCCATGACAATTTTATCATGATGGAACATGCAACTTGGTTTTTAAACACAGTTGAGGGCAGTAGAACTGTCCTCTCTCTCCTGAGGTCCTCAATAGGGAATTAGAGTACTTATTATTTTCGGTATTATCTGGGTGAAGAGCTAGTTTGTTTCTCCATTTACACATGGGAAAACAGACCTAGAAAGTGATTTTCCAGATTTGTACTATCCAATGGCAGTGTCTTTTTTTTTTTTTTTAACTAATGTCTTTTGTACTCTGAGTATTTGGCTAAGTTATTACTCGGTATTTGGGTAAGTTCAACAACTTCTGTCCTTCCCTGCCATCTCCATGAGAGATTAAATACATTAAAATGTATATTAAAATGATCATTTTGTAATCAAGTTTTGTTTGTTATTTACCAAGATCATATTTAAGTTATGTATATTGGAGAACCAAAAACCATGAAAAGTCAGGTTCAGGGTGGTTTGAGTGGCATTTGGGAGAGCTGGTTTTTTTATTCTTTTTCCTGCATTTTTATTTCTTTGCTTAACCTCTTCCTAAGTCAGTATGTGTTTTGGCTAACAGTTTTCATTGTGAAACAATAATATAGGTCAGTGGTCTTAATCATCCCAAAATGTCTGTTACAAGTAATAAATAAGAAACAAGAACATGACACTAAACTTCTTCAAAAAAAAAAAAAAAAAAAGCCCATCATCAAATATTTTCTGCCTCTCAACTCTTGTGGCCCCCTTCAAGTTGTAAGTTTAGATTTTTATACCAGAATCACAGCAGGGTCTAAAATAAAGAATTTTTCACAGAATTGATTTTACCAGCATGAAATCTGCAGAAATTGATCTGTTATCTTCAGAATGCTGCCTTCCAGCTGTGCCGTGGCTAAGACCCCAGGCAGTGAGTGGAAGCATATTTGTTTGGTTTCCTAAATGCCAAGAGGCACTTACCTTCCACACCATACAATTTGGTGTGGTTGGCTGCCCAGCTAGTCTTTTTCAGAGGCCAGGGGTGGGTGGTGCGGGAAGGAACTCAGATGAGAGTTGAGTTGTGCTAACTACTAGTTTGTTTGGCTTTTTCTGCCCTACTTGTTAGACTTCCAGTAAGCCCCTGATCACCCTTGACGTGGGAAATGTAAAATACCTTTGTAATATCGCCGTTTATTAGAGGTTGTAGTTATTCCCAGTCCAGATTTTGCAAAGAGCCTACTTCAAGAAGGCAGCCAGCCAGTCCCCTTGCAGATTTCTTTGGGGTTCTGAATTCATTTGGACTTTCAAGATCGTTATTTTAGAGACCGTCCTCTTTCTTAGCCGACATGAAAGCAAACCCACACCACTTCGAGTTCTGTTTCGATGTGTGCTGCTGCGGCTCTCATAAAGGGAATGCGCGTCTTCTGTGTTCTCTCTCCTTCTGAAACTTGTTGACTGACATGTATGTTAGGGTACACCCCTGGAAAAGGGTGCTGGGGTGGGTGAAGCAGGGACTAGGGGGAATGTTTTTGTCTCACTGTGAGTTGGGAAGTGTATTTTAAGGCTTTTAGGATAGGACCGCCTCCTTAAGTTAGAGTGTCTTCTTGCAGACTTTCCCCAGCTAGGCCCAGGTTGCTTTTTTGGCAGAATTTCAGTTAAAATTCAGATATTTTTAATAGTTCACACAAGGTTTTCTGCTTTGCCTTTTTGTACATGTCCTAGATTTATACAGTCACTTTTCTAAGAATTTTTATTTTCCTTTTGTCCCAGGTATTTACCACCAGAGTGTTTTGTGGTTGGGAAAGAGCCACCAAAGATCTCAAATAAAGTTGACGTCTGGTCAGTGGGTGTGATCTTCTACCAGTGTCTTTATGGAAGGAAGGTAAGGAAGAAGGTCAGATGCGGTGGCTTGATGTCTGTCTTGGGGCGCACATACACACTGGCATGGTGTCGGTTATTCTCTTGGAATTGATTATACAGAATGGAATCCTGAAAGTTGTGGTTTGAAGAAAATACAGACACTCATAAAAGCTTTATGCATAAGCAGAACTTTTCAACCCTGCGTACTTAATGAATTCCACTGGGCTACTGAAAACATGCATTTTTGCTGTTTTCAGTTAGATCCAGGATATGTTTTGTTTCTGATAATATGTACAAGGAATTGTATGAAATAGTTTATTTAAAGTATACAGTTGTCTCAGGAGCCATTCTTTAGGTCTCAAGAACTGAAATTTGAAATATCTACAGGGCTCTTTATTCTCAGCCACTCCATTAGTTAACGCTATTATAAATAAAAGCCTGCTTTCTGTTTTCTGTATTGAGGAAGTGTAGTGTTAAAAGGTGTTCACTGTCTTTTACCTCTGGATCAAGGTGATAGATCATTTGGACACATAATAACCCAGGTAGTAAACTATACCTAATGAATTTTCACATCTGTGTTTTCCTGTGTTCATAAGCCTACTGCCTTATAAATAAACTTACATACTAGGATCCAGTGCGTGTGTACTCACATATTTGCTGTCAGTGTGTTATAAGTAATTGAAGTTCGTCTGAGATCCAGAGTTGCGTGCTCTACTGACTGAGTCAGCCAGGCTCCCCCAGAGGAGTTAATTACGACTTACACTCTCTGATAATGTAGAAATGCTGCTGAGAATGTTGGTAGAGGTTATGTACAAGCACGGTAGAGATGACACTAGGCTTGAACTTATATTTTAAGATCTTCTTAGAAAATTGGGCTTCCTGAGTGGTGCAGGCAGTTAGGGGTCTGACTCTTGGCTTCGGCTCGGGTCATGATCTCAGGGTCACGACATGGAGCTGCCCCATCAGGCTCCTCGCTCAGTGAGGAATCTGCTGAAGATTCTCCCTCTCTCCCCCACTCCCACATGCTCTCTCTCTCTCTCTCAAATAGAATCTTGGGGGAGGGGCAAAAAAGAAAGAAAATGGCACATTGGGGCACAGATGAAGCAATTAAGTACCCCCAGCCCGCCCCCCCACTTTGTACTTACTCCTTCTCTTCTACTTCCTTTTCCATCTCTCTTTACCTGTGTCTTGGGTCTGCCAATGGCACAAGTATGTATTACTTAAGCCTACAGGTATCACTGAGGGTAGAAGAGGTTGCTGGTTCCTGCTGGAATATTCTTTTTCTTGGCTGTAAGCAAACCTGAACAGAGGTGTTGCGATAGGACATGCTGTTTCTGGTCCCAGCTCTGCCTTAACCTTGATGTTGCCTTGTGAGTGTGTTCCTTAAGTTCTGAGCCTTTCCACGCCTCACCTATAAAAAGAGGGAGTTAGAGGAGACCATCTCCAAAGTTCGTTCTTTCCAGCAACTCTCACTGAAGCATGTCTTCATTATTTTCCTATGGTTTTGAATTGTGTTCTCTTTAATTTTAACCAGAGGCCCACCTCTGTTTGTTTTGTTTTGTGTGATAGCCTTTTGGCCACAACCAGTCCCAGCAAGACATTCTACAAGAAAATACTATTCTTAAAGCTACTGAAGTGCAGTTCCCGCCAAAGCCAGTAGTAACACCAGAAGCAAAGGTAAGTTGTGACCCATTGGCAAGCAAAAAATGACTGCTTTGCTTTCTGTATTATTTCTCTCAGTAATAGTGGATGGATTATCAGTATAAAAGTCAGGAGTCAGTCAAAACCTCTGCCTCCTTCCGAATGTGTATTTCTCCAACCCCTACCCTGTTCTCCCCTTTCCTCCTACAACAAATACTTAGGGTGCCTGGGGAGTACTAAGAGTGGAGGGGATGGCGAGTGTGTAGCAGTGAACTACAGACAAGGTCCTTCCCTGTCAGGAGTTTCCGTTCCAGCAGGTGAGACAAAAAATAACTAGCAACAGATCCACCTCAGATGGTGAAAAATAAATGAGTAAGAAGATCGAGGGGCGGGAACTCCTTTTTTGATGGCCTGGTCAGGATGGCCTCCATGGTGAAGTGACGTATTGAGCAGTTGTGAATGATATGAAGGTGGGAGCCGTGTGTAGATTTGGGAGGACAGTACTCCAAGCAGAGCAGTGTGTGAAGCTGAGGTGTAAGGGCAAGCTTAGCTGATCCACGGAGCAGAGAGGAGCGGTCGGTGGGCGAGGCAGCAGGACAGATGGGAAACGCCCTTAGGTTTTACTCAGGGCAGCTGTGTGATCTGATTGAGGTTTCAAAAGGCTTCCCTGGCGGCTGTGTAGAGAGAAAATTCAAGGTGGAATTATCTGACCAATAATTATCCCATCCAACCCGAGGTAACCCATTTTACATCTCATTAAGAAAAGTTCTTTTTTTTTTTTTTTTTTTTTTTTTTTATTTTTTTATTTATTTATTTGACCGAGATCATAAGTAGTCAGAGAGGCGGGCAGAGAGAAAGGGAGCAGATTCCCCAGTGAGCAGGGAGCCCAATGCGGTGCTCGATTCCAGGACTCCGGGATCATGACCTGAGCCAAAGGCAGAGGCTTAACCCACTGAGCCACCCAGGTGCCCCAAGAAAGGTTCATTTTTAAAGGCTGAGGATTTTTGAATGTATTTCTGTGAATTTGTTTTTATCTTCCAAATCCTTTAATCAGGCAGCTATGTTTGTGGTTTTGATTTTGGAAAAACAGGATTGTTGCTGTACTTTTGGTTTTTTATTAATTAAACCTGGAAAAAAGAAAATCATTACATCTCATATTTTAGGTTTTTTTTTTTTCTTTTTTTTTAATTTTATTTTTTATAAACATATATTTTTTTCCCCCAGGGGTACAGGTCTGTGAATCTCCAGGTTTACACACTTCACAGCACTCACCATAGCACATACCCTACCCAATGTCCATAACCCCACCACCCCTCCCAACCCCCCCTTTAGTTTTTTTTTTTAAATAGACTTTGTTAGGCTATATTTTTTTAGAGCGATTTTAGACTCACAGCAGCACTGAGCAGAAAGTAAAGAGTTTCCGTGTATTCCGTGTTCCTACACGTGCCCAGCCTCCTGCACTGTCCGCCTCCTGCACCAGAGTGGGACATTCCTTAGAACTGATGGACCTATATTGTGACACTGTCATCACCTGAATGTAAAAGTATGGCCTGAGGGTCATAATGACATTTTAGATTTTTAAAAATCAGTTCATTTATTTAATTAAATTACAAGAGTGATTAAAAAATAGAAAAAGATAGATCACCTGTTTAAGCGCCTTTGTGATAAGAATGGTAGAAACTGATCCTATCTAGCCCGTCATACCTAGCACAAAGGAAACTTCCATGTTGGTAGTAAATTAGGATTCTGAGTGAAACCCGGCTCATAGTATGATTCCATGCCTCAGTACCCTTGGGGAGACAAGTCCTGTTCAGGTTTTCCTTTACTGCTTAGGTGTGTGAGGCAGAATGAGATCCACAGGGGAAGCATTTACCAACCTGTGATGCACTGTAGTGTTAGTAGGGGTGGGTGTCCTAACCCTGCCTGGGGTGGTGGCTTGTTTCACTTACTCAGGAAGTAGAAAGTTCCCATGAGGCCATGGTTTGTACACGCAGGACCGTGAAGGTAGATGTGCCCGGGGAAACCGGCCAAGGAGGAGAGAGTGGTTTTGTGTTCTGGGGGCAGAGGTATTCAGAGGTCGGGTCATGTCCCATTCCCCCTCAAGAACGGCTTGGCCACCTCCTTCAGGGAAGTAGTCCGTGGCCAGAGAGAGGCGCTGCTGCCCGTGCGTCCCCTTGCCTGGCCCTGTCTAGGTGTGCCTGGTGATTTCTGGGAAGGGCCCTGAGCTCCTGGCCTGGGTTCTGGCAGCTGCTGCAGAGCCCCAGGCTTCCATCTGGGGCCCCCAGGATGATCTCTGCCTCAGGCTTCTTCAAGAACCTTTCCTTTCAGGCGTTTATTCGACGATGCTTAGCCTATCGAAAGGAGGACCGCATCGATGTCCAGCAGCTGGCCTGTGACCCCTACTTGCTGCCTCACATCCGAAAGTCGGTCTCCACGAGTAGCCCCGCTGGAGCTGCTATCGCGTCGACCTCGGGGGCGTCCAATAACAGTTCTTCGAATTGAGACCCACTCCTAGGCCGCGAACTGTTCAGCACACACCAAGTGGACAAGTGGCATTCAGCAGCGGGTTTGGGACATAGCGAATCCGAATGGATCTCATGAAACCTGTACCAGGTGCTTTTATTTTCTTGCTTTTTTCCCATCCATAGAGCATGACAGCATCGATTCTCATTGAGGAGAAACCTTGGGCAGCTCTGGCCAGGCCTTGTAGGAAAAGGCCCCGCCCGAGGTTCCGGCGTCATCGGCCACTGCGTGTGGCTGCTCTGAGTGAGGAAAAAATTTAAAAGAAAAACTGGTTCCATGTACTGTGAACTTGAAAACATGCAGACTCAGGGGGGGGTCCCTGATGCAGTGCTTCAGATGAAGAATGTGGACTTGAAAATACAGACTGGGCTAGTCCAGTGTCTATATTTAAACTTGTTCTTTTCTTTTAATAAAGTTTAGGTAACATCTCCTGAAAAGCTTGTAGCACAAAGGCTCAGCTGGGGATGGTGTTTGACTTCGGAGGAAAAAAGTTGCTATTGCCCGTTAAAGGCACTAGAGTTAGTGTTTTATCCCTAAATAATTTCAATTTTTAAAAACATGCAGCTTCCCTCCCCCCTTTTTTATTTTTGAAAGAATACATTTGGTCATAAAGTGAAACCCGTATTAGCAAGTACGTGGCAACGTTCATTCCAGTCAGATGCAGCTTTCTCCTCCGTCTGGTCTCCCGTTTGCAGTCGCTTCCCTCGTCTCAGGAGGGAAAGCGTCGAGTGGGAGGACTGAGGTGTGTGGGGCTTTGCCGTCGGACAAAGAACGAGGTTAGAAGCCCGCAGCTTGGAGTCTCTAGGTTTTCAACTCTTTCTTCACAATTTGAACACTTGACGGTTGTCCCTTTTAATTTATTTGAAGTGCTATTTTTTTAAATAAAGGTTCATCTGTCCATGCAGTCCTCTTGGATTCTCTGAATGTAGTAACTATCAAAAACTGTTCCAGAGGTAGCCAGAAGATGGGCCGGGGAGCCAGATGCTCCAGGGATCAGGAGGTCCTCCCCACGGTCTCTGAATGTGCTTGCTAAATGGTGTACCTTTCTTGTTAACCACGATATTAAAACTTGATCAGCTCATAAGCTTTCCTCTGTTAGATCTTTTGGCAGGAAACAGCCTCCAGCCCTCTGAATTTTGTGGGTGTGTGCTGGTGTGTGCGTCTGTGTGTGCATGTGCGCACACGCTTTGTCTAACTCACTTTAATAGATTGAGCGAGTGGAGTTAAAAAAGAATCGCAGGGAGATAGGTATTTTGAACATGAACATTCTTTTGGAACTCCCCCCCCCCCCCCGCCTGCCCAACATTTGGTTGTTTCTGAGATGTGTGATGATCTGAAGACGGAGCTGAAATGGGAGATGCATGGCCCCACCGTGCCCTTGAAACAGCAGAGCACTCGACAGCAGAGAGGGGAGGAGGCCAGAGCCGGAGCATGTGGTAGCCAGCTTGGAATGTTACTGACATATGTGGCAAGAGGGCTCAGCCAGAAATATTTAAAGATGCAGCATTCAGGCATTCGAGTTCCCTGGGCAGGGGGAGGGAAGTGGGAAAGGGTAGAGAGCTCTCGCTGACCGGAGTCTTTCTTCCGTGCATGAAAAATGTCACTGGTGACACTTTTGCTGGCACCTGTGTTGGTTCTGTGGCCCTGCCCTGCCCCACGCCCCTTGGTAACCAGGTGCTCTTAGGGGAAGATGGAGTGATCCCAGTCGGAGAGACGATGGCGGGTAGGTACTGCCTTGTGGAACTCTGAGTGGAAGGAAGGTAGCCCTGGAGCTCTTGGCGCCCCCAGCTTTCCAGGTTACCACAGATAAAAATGTTTTTCCAGATTTCCATTTTATCACAAGTGCTTATACAAGCATTACACATGTGATGTACATGTCTGTGTATATGTGTGGTACCTCTTTAACCATGACTTTCAGGCTGTTAAGCAGAGAGTCCCTGTGAGTCTCAAAGGTTGAGCGCCCCGGAAGGATGGTATGTGCAGGTGTGAAGGATGAGGAGTCGAGATGGACCCAGAGTAGTAGGTTGTATTCCTTGTTTTCTCTTCTCATTCAGTGATCTTGCAAGGCCTTTTTTTTTTTTTTTTTTAACTTTTTTCAAGGTTGAAAGAATGCTGCATCTTTAAACCTTCCGACTGACTTCCTGCCTCCTCCTCCTCCCCATGGGCTTGTGAGTGGAGCTGCGGGACTTTATTTGTTCATCTCCCTTCTCTGCCCTTGTCCTGAAGAGGTATGCCCTCTCTCCTGGCTCCCCTTGGGTCTAGGCCCTGGTTGGAGCTGACTTGGCTTGCTTGAGTCTGGGCAAGACCTTTCCACTACATGGACTGGCCCCAGAGAACATGCAGAATGCTGACTTTTTCTAGATTTTTAAGTAGCCAATGAAATCACTAAGTGGGGTTCTTCCATGACATATTTTGTTAATATGGGTTTCACTTTTTCCAAGGATAATCCCTTATTGCCACAATTGGTTTACTTTAAACAATGACAAAAAATGTGTATTAATTTGTAATTAAACCCAGCCAGACTGTTTTCGACTTTCCCAACTTGGGGGGAGCGGGGGAGGGTGGGGAGGATATTAAAATAAGTTTTGAGAAGTGAATCTCCCAGCCTCTTGATTTTACTCTAGTTCTTCAGGCAGGGCTCTGAGCATCTAGGGGGCGGGGAGGTAGGGAAATCCTGCAGCTGACTGCGTCCCCGCGGACACTGCGGGCATGTCGGCAACGTGTTCATACACCTTCTGTACCTCCAATGTGCTGATCACTAATGCTTGTTGGTGGGAAGACAGCAGTGAGCGGGATAGGGAAGGCTCAGCCGTCGGCTTACAATCCAGGGGTGACAGCTCTGGGTCCCCGGAAGGGAAGGAGTACAGGTCTTCGATGGGAAGGAGTTGGGCTCTGACTCCTCCAACCGAAGATGGGCAGCTTTACAGGGAGACTTGCTCTTGGGAGCCACGTGCACCCCACTTCTGTGGCTGACCCGGGCACACCTGCTCACTGCCTTAGAGGTTTTGCCACCCTCCTTCCTCTAGAGCTATGAGGACAGGTTTTCCTTGGCTGAGAAAATGAGCAAGCAGATAGCTCGTGTGTCTCTTAATTTAGAAAATAATTCTCTTTAAACATAGTCATCTCCTAGAATCCTAGAGCTAGAAGTAAGCCTCGGGTCCAGCTCCTCACTTCTGAGAAGGCGAAGTTTACAACTAGCTCCACCCACCTTGGTGAGTTTTGCTTTCTCAGAATCTCTGCCCCTCCGCCCTCCCACTTACTCATCATTCTACTTGCCCAGGCTCACTCTGTCTGTAATTAAAATCAGCCCCGGGGTAAGTGGGGGAGAGACATGGCACACACGCTAGTTGAGGTATGGGGAGTCTCTGCTTCCTAAAATTAGCTGTTCTGTTGTCATTTCTTAAGGCAGAATCACCTGGAGGTTAAGAGCCTGGGCTTCAGGAGTACGTCTGATTCAGATCCTACCTCTGCAGGCTTCAGGGATAGTTCCATGCATGGTTGTAAGGAGTGGAAATAGTAGGTATAATAAAGTGCCTGGCACGCGAGAAGGGAGTCCAAAAGTGTGCTTTACAGAAAGATCGCAAGATCCAGTAAGAAGGATTGCTGGGCCTGAGCCCCCGCCCCCACGGTTGCTGGTGGCGATTCAGAGCCCTTCTACTGGCCAGATGGTCAGATCCTTTGGCCTGGGGGAGGTGATGCGGGAGCCTTGCCCTTTGGCTTGAGATTCCCTATCGGCCTTTGTCCTATGAGGTCAGCAATCTCCTCTTACCAGATCCACGACTGCCTCTGGCCGAATCAGGGAGGAGCATCTTACAGGCCAGTGTGGCTCCCAGGCCAGGGGCATCAGCAGCACCTGGAGCCTGTTGGAAAGTCACGTTCTCAGCAACCCCTCCCCGAGTCCGCCTCCCCGGTGGTTTGAGCACCGAGGGGCACAAGTTCCTATCAGCCGCAGCAACAAGGGTGGGGCACTTGGAGAGGGTGGTCTTCGGGCCTTGTCTAAAACTCACCCAGCTGGAAACAGAGATGAGTCCGTTTTATTTTCTGTGTTAGGGATAAAAGTCTGTGTTAAGCTCTGGGCTGTGCTAGGCCCAGTGTCATGCGTGTGCTCCTATAATTACAGGGAGCCTCAGGAGTGCACGTACGACACATCCCTTACACCAGTGCCCTGGGACCTAACAGTGCATTAGGGATCATTCACTCCTTTGGGCAGAGCTTCTTATCCTTGCCTTCTTTAAAATACTCACCGGTACCTTACTGTGAATTAACTTAGCACGTTTTTCTTTTACCTGAAGGGTCTGGGGCTGCGGGAGTGAGCTCGGACCTGGGTCGGACCTGGGTGGGCATGTGAACACAGCCTGGCACTCTGAATCAGGGGTGAGGAGAGCCTGGGACTGCAGATCTTTGGAAGGAGTGAGGATGGAGAGAGCAGAGAGGTTGCAGGGAAAAGAGGGTTAAGGAGGAAGTGGTGAGGGACTCTGGCTGCTATGGAGCTCTGCGGGTGGGTTGGGGGAACCTGCCAGAAGCTGGGACCTGGTGGGGGTAGGGAATACAAGAGCCCTATTGTGCTGGGGTTGCTCCGCAGGGGCCCGAGACAGGCTGGAGTCAGCCAAAGGGTGTGTGTGTGTCTGTCTGTGTGTGTGTGTGTGGCACTGGGCAGGAGACCCCCATGGTGTGAAGGGGTCAGAGCGCGGCCGGCTGGCTGGCTGTTCTAGAAGGAAGGGCGTGGCCGAAGAACTGGGGTAACCTCAGGCCTCAGTAGCTTCCAGGCACCTGCAGTCGTGGGGGCACAAGATGGCAGTGTCAGCAAAGAGAAGGGGCTCCTCAGTGCTGGTGCTTTGTCGGGAAGTTCAGCTGTGTTGCCTCACAGCCTCGGTGTAGACAAGGTAGGAGTATCCCACTGATTTTACAGATGAGGACACTGAGACCCAGAAAGATTTGGTAGCTGGTAGTAGGCGGAGCAGGATTGAATGGGAAGGGACTACAAGCTTGAAAATGTGAGATGAGTCTCTGAGTGCCAGCCTTGGGCAGCCTGCTGTGGGTGAGGACACGCCTTGGTTCCCTGTTGACAGCGGTGTGGCCGTATTCTAGGGCTCTGCTCTCCCGGGCTCCCTCATGGCCCGCCTTAAAAGTCTAGAGACCCAGCTGACGACCCAGCTGGCCTGGGCAGCGGCCTTGCCTCTGCAGTCCTGGGCCGGGACTGAACTTAGGGAGGGAAGTGGGGTGCCTGGCTTCACAGAACATTCATTCTTCAACTCCCCTACAAAATCTGATCATGCCATCTTCTTTATAAACAAGGAAATAAAAATCTTGCCCTATCCCAGCCCAGGCCAGCTCTGTCTTCCTGTCCCTCAGTGCCCTAATGGACCAGGCAGGAATGGCCACCTCTGCCTTGGCCGCCTCCAGTTGCTATAAGGCTCAGAAGGGGCGGGAGATAATGGAATTGTTTTTGGCAACTGAAAAAAGTAAAAAGGCAAAAGAGTGTTGCTAGATGCTGCCTCCATGTCACAGGGTTCCCTGGAGAGAGGTTTGTAGGATATAGAAGGTCCCCCAGCGAGGGCCTTGACCTGTTCTAGAAGGAACCTGTTCTAGGCCAGACCTGAGCCCTTCAGCCTGGCTCTGTGCTCTGAGAGAAGGGCAAGCCACTGGGAAACATGAAGAGGAAGGTCTTTCCCTACAAATTAATTCTTTACATCTCCAGACTCTTTTCAGAGCCCCGTGTGCAACGTTAACGCTAACCCTGCTCCTCATCCCACATTAAGTGGACGAAAGTGTATCCAGAACAAGGTGACAGGAGAGCCCTTGGTGCGGACCGTGTTGAGGTCCTAACTGAACACGCTGCGTGGTCAGGCCGGCCGCTCCCACCTGGAGCTGCATTCACCGGTTCTGTAAGCGTCACGCAGCTGAG